TTGTATTAGACCCGTCGTCCATTTATTTGTAAGTCAATGGAAATATGTTATAAAAACAAACTTTGAGTGTTTAAAATCTATGCAACTGCATAACTTGTGTAATCATCATTCCGTCAACTCGTTATACGTTCCACTGCTATAGCCATTGATAGTGTCAATGGCAGGACTTTGTACGTTTGGTATTCGTGTAAAAGTTGAGAGCAGTAGCTTGTCAGCTACTATGCGACTGCCTTTGCAATTTTTGGTATCCTGCTCTTCAATGGCGTATATATTACATTAGAAAATAAAATTGCTGATTAAACGAGATAAAAAGTAAGATATGCATAGTAATTTCCATGGTAGGTTTAGTAATGCAACATCGATCACTAGTGACTGAAAGAATGAATGCCATCACTGCCATTTCACTGACACTCTATTGAGGCTCAACTGCCATTGGAACTAGATTTTAGCAGAATGTCAGTGGAATGGATGAAGACCAGTGACTTCAAGAAAATCAGCAGAATTGGGGCCCTGGTGTGGATGTTCGGAATATTTTGCTACTAAACATTTACAAACATAACTTGGAAATTGAAGTCAAAGATACCTTCATAGATAGGTTGTCTTAGAGTTTCGAGACGTTGACCTCTCATTTGAAAAGCAACCATTTTCCCAGAGCTCCTATTATACAGTGTGTTGATTAGCATTCTCGCCATATTTAAGAAATTAATAATAGAAATAATGCTAAATCATCTCAAAATATCAAAAAAATATTCTGTTCAATATTCTGGCTAATTGTATCTCGTAAAGTTTTGCAAAATTGTCTCAAGCTGTATGCACCACGCAAGGGCAGTGACCTCGCCGCCCGCTTCACCGAGCGATACGTAATCTTTCTCCATCGCTTATTTACTTATTTTTCAAATTATAGTTATGTATTAGTATTGTTATAATTTACTATTTATTTAGATTAATTAGAAAAGTAGACTGAAAAAGATTTATTGTAACTCCGTACCGGAGCCACCACCAAGCTATGCAGAGATTCGCACGTGAGTTTCGTTTTAACATTAGACTCCACAACTTTGAAAGCAGAAACTTCGACACACGTATCCTCCGCGTAAACTAAACGTTTCACATCATGCCATTAGACAAGCACTTATGCTTGATGGATTACCATGCAGGTTCTGGTGAACCTGGTAGCGGTTCTTTTGTGCACTACTAACTTTTATTTACATACCAACCACGTGGCATTTCGTGACAGACTAGAATAGAATGTATGTGGGATGTCAGCGTAATGTAGACGCAGTACGGGAAGCAAGGTCGATTGATCTACCAATCGCCCGCTCGATACGACACTCCCCCGCCGTCGCTACCCGCACCCCACCACCAAATAGATCTAAGATGCGTTTCTTTTTGCGCATTTAAGGTCACTGTTCAAAATGTTTGCAAGTGCCGTGCAATTCAATGATATATCGGATATAGAATGACCTCTGTAAATATGGCGAGAATGCAAATCAACGCATTGTATACAGTTTTAATAATAAGCCGTGGTAGTTTGACCTATCGCCTCTCAGAAAGGCCGTGGATTCAAGTCCTCGCACTTCTGAGTTTCTCGGAATTTATGAGCGAAATTTAATTTGAAATTTACCACGAGCTTTTCGTTGAAGGAATGCAACCTGATGAAACCTACACGTTGAAGAAGGTTCACAACCGTTGGAAAAAAGTCCCGCATTAGGCTAACGTGGCAGAAATATGGCCTAAATTCTCGTCTAAGAGGAGACCCGTCCCCAGCAGCGGGCCGTATAAACGAGTTGATAATGATGATGGTGATGTCTAAAATTAACTACGCGGCGGTTGTGAAATTGATTCAGGGTTCGAAATTTTATCGATTATTCTGCCTTCACTTACCTGGATTCTTCATACGCTGCGGTTCCACGTCCTGCTGGTCCCTCAACAGCGGATGGAAGAAGGTGTACACGAGGTCGGAGTGCGCGATCTCGTCGGCCAGGTTGAACAGAGACGTGAGGAATGCCTGCACGTCGCCGAACCTCCGTTCGGCCACTTGCCGGATATTCGATCGACCCACATGAAGGCCCGAAGGTAAGCTAGAAAAAAGCAATAGGTTTGTTTTAGGAATACTACCGGTATACAGTTGCTACAAAAACTTATATAATACCGATAATATACACGTATAATTTTATTTGTACTAGTCGTATCTCAAGTACCGATATCGTAGTAAGGTCAATGGTACCGGTTTCTAAAAATAACGATATTCCAAGACCTGGTAAAGTGCATTTATTTACATTGCATTGCAAATACGTTTATCATTACAATATTTAATTTAAACATCTTAGATCGAGACTACCTGCAAGAGCTAAAAGGGTCACTACCAAGGATTTTTGTCATCCAAGTACGCAGAAGCTTTATAATAAACTTTATAAACTTTATAAAAAAATTAGTATAAAGTTTTTGTTTCACAATAGTTTTAAAGCTCGCAAATGGTAAATTTTGAATATCAATCGGAATCTTGTTATAGAAGAGTATCGACTCATCCGAAGAACAGAGTTCGATGTGATTATACAACGAAAAGAGGATAAGTACATAACTTCGTTATTCAAAATAAAGCCTATCTATAGGTGTTTTCAGAATTTTATGTATTATTTCGTTTGGGAAATATAAAATCGATCAACAGTCGATCTTATATCCACAGCTAAGAACAGCGAACGAAATGTACAATGTCCTGAGAATAAGCAGTCTTTGTTCTACGGATGACTCGTTATATATTGCCCCTTAAATGAATATGAGATTTTATGAAGACGATTGTCAAGAACAGCTAGTATATTTTTATTCCTCGGTAGCAAAAAAGATATATTCCAGGAGATGTGCAAAAGTGACTTATGGCATTTGAATGAGCTTGACAGCGCGGTTTATAATAAACCATAGTCTTCTTATTTAAGAGAGCCAGACTGTTGTCAGTTATCTTTCTTACAATCTAGCGCTTCGTAATCCGTTAATATAGCTAAAAACTTATTAATCCGCCTGCCAGACGTAGCGGTAAAAGATAATTTATTTTTAAATAGGCCTATATCGATAAATATACTAAAGGAACATATAAACAACGTCATATATATTTAATACACAATAGTGTTGTGTATATATGTTTAACGTACTATATGTATATATACATAATATTTTTTTTATAAAAAATAAGTGCGCATTTGACCTCTATCTCACCTGATGGAAAGTGAAGATGAGGTCGAGGATGTAGCACGCACACCTAAATATTATTAATATGTATGTGCGTATTAATTATATGTGAATGTTTTTTCTCGTATTGTTTTTCTTTTAACACAGAAAAAATTAATCTAACTCGAGTATATATTTTTTTAAACAACCAACGTCTCAGGCCCAAGGCAACCATGTACAGGTCCCATAGTTACGGCTGCCTTGATTTAATTGTAACAACAAATATACACTATTTAGCTCCGAAAAATAGTTTCATTTTCTATGTGTAACAATCGCGAAAACCTATGATATTTTTAGCACTTTGAAATTAACAAACCACTCCACTCAATAATTATTTTAGTGGATAACTGTAATTGGCCTATCCAAAATGTGCTAAAAGTATTTTAAGGTTTAAATTGCTTTTTTTTATATAATACATTGGTATTATAAAAAAATGACAGGACGAAAAAGTCTGCGCCTGGTGTTAAGCGACACGCCTGTCCAAAAACTTGAGGGCACTACCACTGCGTCCGTCACCTGAGACATAAGTTGAGAAGTCCTATGGGCCTGTAATTTCACCAGCTTATGTCACCAGTATTATGGCTGTTGTATCCCAAATAAAATAAATAATTGAAGGGGATAACGTTGAAAGCCTCCTGGGCATGAAGCTCCAAGGCGAGACCCTCAATATAATTTTCTACTTTTACTATAAGCGTAGTAATTCTTTCTCTTTTTATTCTAAAATCAGCATGCAGCAGCCATCAAACATGTATGTCAAATCTACATTCGATATTCCGATTCGTCATAGTTCGAGCTAAGTAATCATAATATAAAATAATGTAAGGGTGCTTTTCCACCCGTGCGGCTAGACGAGAATAGAAATCTCGCCGGCCTATTTCCACTAAAAATTGCCATTTGTAGCTATTGCGAGCACGCGATTGGTATCAATAGCTATCGCGAGCTTTCGCGAGCAATGTCGTTGTGGATAATGAAGATTCAGCTGTCCAGTTCGTCTTGCTATAAACACGCGTCTGAAGTAACATGTCCCGTAAATTATTTTTATTAAATATGCCAACGGAAGAAGAATCAGATGAAGACATTATTATAAATGTGAAATCGTTCGTACCTCAAAATAGTGTTTTCGTTGCAAAATTAATAAATACTCTATGATGGCAGCAAGACGGTTTAATATTACAGCAACAAATATTTTAATTCTCGCCCTCGCACATCCTCGTCAATCTAGACCATTTCCACCGAAGTTTGGAGATTTGCTAGGAGAGAATTGATATTTTGCCATACAAACTTCAAGCCTCGCCTCGCGTCGCAGATGGAAAAGGACCCTAATGCTCTGGCCGCCTCTGTGTGGCCTGAGCGTAAGAGAGCACAAAGCCATCACCACATTTAAGCTTTTTTTGACCCTATAATATAAGTACGTAACAAATAAGTTTCCTAAAAACCAGTCTCTATCGACCAACGACTCAATCATTTTTACCTTCATTCGACTATAGTAGTGTGGTGATTTACCCATTATGATAAAGAGCATATTTAATACATCGTTTAACGTAATGTATTTATTCCAATTCTTTCGTGATGTAAGTCGTCATTTGAACAGTGAATTTTATAACTTCCAACTAAAGAATACGAAGGAAGACAACAAAGAAACATCAGCGACATCGGATAAACACGTCAAAAAGAAACAAAGCTCGGGCAAATCGGTAATCGCAAATTATCGTAATAATGGATTAGTACATTTCTCGCGATAGTTATGTTAGTTAGCATACGTAATTTGGTACTTGATAAGATTGTCACAGAACATGGTCGGGTGTTCGCTATCTAATCACGTTGCACGACTATAGAATTCAGTAATGGACAGGCCAGTATTGTCAACACTGCTTCATTGTAATTATTTACATACGTGTTATGAATTAATGGCCATTATTAAATGGCAGTGTTAAGGGGGCCAAATATCGGTAAGCAAATTGTTTTACTTTTTTGTTCGGTAAATCATTGCGTGTATTCTGAGTGTTTCCATTTCGACAACTTTGGCCGAGCAAGGTGGGCACTAGATAAGGATGTCCCGGGTTTGATTCCTTGTACAAAAGTGTTATATTCATAAGATTACTTAGTTCTTGAAAAGCTCAGTAGTTAATTTTATTAGCAGTAGAGCTTATTGTGAAAGAGTTCGTCCACGGAAGTACTGCCACCCTGCGTTGAGCATTGAAGGGTGCTGGTGAAATTACAGGCATATGAGACTTGTCAACTTATGTCTCAGGGTGACGGGTGTAGTGGCAGTGGCTCAAATTGTTGTGAGCACCACTACAACCGTTCGTCTTCTTGTCGCGTCAATGACAAAAACCAATAAAATACCAAACCTGTGTTAATCTCTTTGCCGTAAGCAGCCACAATGCTAACTGCGACTGTGTATCACTTATCATAAAAAAGAAATAAAAAATACTCCAGTACTCATAGCACAGGGAATTGCCCAATGTGAGACCAGATAATTCATTCATTACTCCATAGTGCATGACTAAATGAGTCATGTTTACGAGTATGTCCTTTTGTTTCACGGTGTCTTATCGCCGCGGACACTTATTCGCGATGCAGATTTCTGTCAAGGTAAAGAAATTAAATGGGGTCAGGGTGGTGTGACCATCGCCTCGACTTATAATCTTTAAAGGACACCGACATTGACGATGAAAGAACTTTGAAAAACAAACTAGATTAGATGTTTCCATTTGTTGCAGATGATAGTATACAAAACTATATAGCGACTATTGGATTTTTCTGCGTAATCTCCTGCACCGTACTAATGCTCCGGTTTCTAGGATTCAAGGCGTCTTTAGACATCTTGAACACGAACAAAACTAGCTCGGAACACGACAATGTCCCAACAATATCTGTCAATGGCGCTTATAGGGTTAACAGAGGAGAATTCTTTGGTAAGTAGCTATCGAAATTAACATAATATTATCAAACTGCCTCTGTGGTTGAACGGTTACCATGCCAGACTGCAACGCAGAGGTTCCAGGGTCGATTCCAGGGCCGGGAGAAATATTTGTATGGCCTACATTTATTTATCTCGTGAGTTTGGGTGTAATGTGTGGTTGTCTATGTGTGTCCATGGCACCCGCGACACAGGGTTTTCCCTAGTGCGGGGCTATGTTGAGTGTGTGCGTTATGCGCGTTATTTAAATGCAAGTTTTTAAAACTTATCTATCAGTGGCTGTGTGATATTAATTATCGATTAATCGATCTGCACAATCTGTGTTACACATTACTGTGATTGGTTTTGGTGGCTGTATGCACAGGAGTTTATGCTACGACTGCGACAAAGTACAGTCAGCATGAAAAACTAGCAATTAGAGACAAGTTTTAATCATAGAAAAGTAAAATATTTTTTCTTTTTTTACGCAAAGGAATAATGATTATATTTACAATTTATATTTGTTGGTATATACCATTCTTCTCCTCACTAACTGTCGTATACGACATATATATCGTAACTGAGTATGACGTAAGATAAGATCACACTCGGCTTTCAAAAGCAAACGTTCTCCATCGCCGAATGTTTACATTTTATCCGAACATAACGACTTTGAAACGAGCATTAGCTAGACAATAGAGCTCAACCAACAATACGTTGCCCTAATGCGACTACGTACTGAAAACGATGTCTTCACAAAGACTTAAAATATTACATGTGGACTATAATACTACAATGTTTGCAATTTTCAGATAGCGGAAGTTTACAAGATCCACCAAGGAAAGTATTGCCTGCGGTGAAACCCCCATCTGCTTCAAAACCTGCCTCAACAGAACGACAATCAAAAAGCACCAGTGATTTGAGGCAAGTTCAGAATCCACCTTCGAACCTACATAAAAGTACACCTGATATTTCTCAAGACCCACGTGGAACCGAAGGTAACAAAGAGTCCGCTGATCCAAGAAAATTGAATAAAAAAGATGCACAAAAACAGCAAAATGAACAATTGAAATTGAACAAGAAACGTTTAGAAGAACAGAAAAAACGCGATAAATTAGCAGCACAGGAGCAAGCTAAACAGGAGAAACTTAGAAAAGAGAGAGAGAAAGTCCAAGCACAACAACGCGCAAAAGAGGCGAAGAAAATCGAAAAACAGAATCAAGCTAAAGGTAAAAATAAAGACAAAGGAAAGGTTGATACACCGAAGCCTTTAGCTCAGGGCTCACAAGCACAGGGTCCACGCGCCCAGCCACTGGCACAGGGTCCACGCGCCCCGCCACAGGCACAGGGTCCACGCGCTCCACCCCAGGCACAAGACCTTTCCCATGCTCCAAGGCCACAATATTCAACGAACACCCTAGAAAGCTCTATTAGCAAGACAAGCGGCCCCCCACCGTACAGTGCACAAGATAGAACTGCTAAAGCCGAACCTGCAGTGGTACGCAACGAGAGTGATAACACAGGCAATACGAGTTTCGCTAAGCGTGAAGATGCGGGTGGGAGCAGCTGGGATATGATAGCCCAGCATAGAGAACAGATAAATAGAAAGAACTTTGCATCTGCAGACCGGCCGAAGCAAATGGTACTAGACCTACAGTTCAATGCGGATGGCCCCTCAGGTTCTTCGACTGACGACAAAGGCAACAGTGACGTATAAGCAACGATAACAATTAAGAATTGATGAAAATGGTTCTAGTGCTTTATTTATGAGTGAATATTATTTATAAGTTATGTGAATGTAACGTGTCCTACGTGGTTTTATACAGGTAATGATTTGTAATAAAAACTAAATTTAAAAAAATAAAATCCCTTTATCATTGATCAAAATCGGTGTAGAATTATCAAGGCGAATAACTACCATAAAAACATGTGTAATGCGATAATCGGTTATGACCAGTGGACGGATAATAGGTTGCTTATTTACCCACAATTCGGTAACTTGCTAATATAGAACAAATCCCGCGGCACCGGGCTTAACGAAAATTATTAAGCATAAAATTGAAGGAATATTAAGGTTTAGAATGTGATTTGTGAAATCAAGAAAAACAATTGAGTACTAAACTGTCGCTCTATAGTTAAAGTTTTGACACTGGCTGTTCACGTAATACTGAGATCCAGTTGTTATAATTATTCTTGGTCATCATCAAGACTTTGAATTGAAATCTTGTTAAAATAGTGAAACGAAGCGCCAGCTTTTTTATTAATTATTTACTATATTTCAATACATTAGCAACCCATTTATAGGTCCCACTGTTGGACATTAGTCACCTCTTAGGCGACAGTTTGGGCCATCTGCCACGCTGGCCCAATGTTGTGAACCTTTTTCGACGTGCAGGTTCCTTCACTGAACAGCTCATGTGGTAAATCCGGGTTCGAATCCACGACACTCTGCTTAAGAGACGGTAGCTTGGCAAACCATTGGGCTACCACACTTAATTAAATACAATAAAATTTTAATTATTATAATTTGACGAATCCTATTAACGTACACAATATTCTTACTGTTAGACTTAAATTAAGAACGTTTATTTTTATTTGACTGGTTTTTTAATAATGTGTTTATTTTAGTAACTTAAAACAATACTATCTATGAACGGCTAGGTAACAATTTTTATTTTTTTTTATTTCTTTTTAGTTAGATTGTTTATTTTGTTTCTTTTTATTTCTTTAAGAAAAATAAACTTTAATGGAATTGCTCGCTCCAGTAGTGACAGCCTTTTTAGTTCTAGTTCCTCTTTATTAATGTCTCGGAAGAGCAGTATTTCATACATTCAAGTGCAGTATTTTATATATATTCAATTCATGTAATAATTCCTAACTAGTGCAGTTTCAAATTCAAATTCAAAGTATCGGCGGGTATCCGATGGATGCACGTGGCGTCTGATCGGCTGGTCTGGAAATCTTTGGGGGAGGCCTATGTTCAGCAGTGGACGTCTTCCGGCTGATATGATGATAATGATGAAGTGCTGTATGTCATATACATTCAATTCATATAATAATCCCTGACAAGTGTAGTATTTTATATACAGTCATGTAATAGTTCCTATTAGTAATTTTTCTACTTGTTTTTTGTTAATATTTAAGTTACATTTTATAATTTTAGCGTTTATCACACTTGTATTTACGTGCCATCTCATTTTGTAAAAAGCGGTTCCAACTGAAAACCAGCGTTACAGCCGGCGAGCTGTAACATTATGCTGAGTTGAATCCATTTCAGCTTTTAGATATGTAATAATTAACGTGATTTATCTGTTTAGCTTGAATTATCTTAAGCTGAATAAACGTTTCTTTCTTTCTTAGTATTAGATCTCCTCCTCCATTTCTATCGTCAAGTAGCATGTGAGCATTACTGTGTTCCGGTTTTGAAATATAAGGGTGCTGGTGAAATTACATGCACATGAGTCTTGTCAACTTTATGTCTCATGGTGATAGGCGCAGTGGCAGTACCCAAGCTCGCCCAAACTCATCAGACCATTGCAATGCAATGCGTCAATAATCAGTAATTTTATTGCATTCGACAATTTTAGTAGAGAGGAGCACACTATGCCGCTATATTCCCTTTCCAAAGAATGAAAATTGTAAAATTTCAAATTAAATGCACTGAATAACAAAATTTTATAAATTAATAATAGTGTAGTCAATATAACTAAAATCTAATTAAAATATCTGTTCACGCCGATACTAAGGTAGACGGTGCTTGGGTTTAAGTTCACCTACCCACAATTCCCTTTATCATTTATACCGCTATCCTTTTTACTGCGCTGCAACTGGACACTACACTGTTGTGTAGTCTGGAACAGTCTGCAACTAACCGTCCTGGGTAACGTGCGTCCGCCTTGGACCAGCCATTGACGCTTTGGTCTGTGGATTCACCGCCATATTAACACTAACATCCTCTACGTAGTTTCACCTATTTCTTATTTCATCGTGTGTGAAATACCGCTGTGATTTGTACTCTTTGTGTGTGTTATTTTACTGTACTGTTAAACGGTGATAAAGCAACTGATCATAGTAACTGGTGAGACTGCCACCGCGTCAACGGAACCGCCGCGAGTACCACCACATTTGTCGGAGGAGAAGAGCGACCACGTACGACCACGAAATCCACCTCTAAGGTCAGTGTAGCATACTTCAGTTGCACAGCATTCTCTCTACCTACCGATTCGTCTCTCTCCAAACATTCTTTCTCCATACAGTCCACTTCTACCACTCTTCTTAAACGAACCACCGCCACCTGCCGCCCTGGTACAATACCAAATAACTATAATTTCCTTAATTAGTTCCTTATATATTTATCACTTAAGTATTCATCTGTGCATTTAGACAAAAGAATTAGTTCCAGCTCTGTTATAAATCTATTATCATTACTATGTTTTGAACTTCGTCTTGCAATGTGTTATTATATTTTAACCGACATGACAAGACATGACAAGCCACTGCGCGCATTTTGAATCGGGAGCGGGGGAGTATTAACCTATTTGGGTACCTTGATGTGTGGTGAGTAAGGTCTAAGCGTTCAGTGTAAAACTGGGTGTTTACGTGCAAATTTACATGTTTCTAAAATATAAATAAATGGTAAGGTGTTTCTGAAAGTGCGCATGTGGCCGTTTGTTTTATATTGCAAATCACTCTTATTACTTTTTCCTTCTTGTCGGTGGTGTAATAACATAACTTATAAATAAATATCAGAATATCCGGCCACTTGTTATGACAACACGTTTTCCGTCTACGTCACCATAAATACAGAAAACGTGACTATTTTGTATCTTCTACGCATTCATAGCCCTCATATTCGATATCAACTGATATTCCTGAAGTTAATAAAAACTTTTGCGAGTAGAAGAAACGAAAGGGGTATATCAGAAGCCTAAACCAGTGGCGATAGGCGTGATAATAATGCAGGAAACGGTGCAGCTTGATAAGGCACGTATCGTCGGCCGATTCCTGAACCTGAGTCTCTGACTCGGTCGACTGTGCCAATGACGGGGAATATCGCTTCTGCTATTATAATAAAATTCATTTGTCTAAATAGAAGAGACAAGAAGCTAGAATAAATACTCACAATAATTATATGCCTAATGCAAACTAGAAAATTCCCAGTATAAAGCAACGAAATTATAGAAAAGAAAAGACTCAGGACATGTCTCTCCAGCGTCCAGAGTGTTAACTGATGTATCACCAAGATTGTGATAGTATGTATATGTAACAAATACACGCAAATGCTTATTATACATGCACATCATGTAACGTCTAATTAAGAAAGTAGTGGCGACAAGGGAAACCAGTCGGTATTTGGAGTTGAAAGGTTGACGTTAAGCGAATAGGCATTTTTTAGTTAAACGGGTACCACCGCGTCCGTGTGATTTTCATTTAAAAAAAAAGTTATTTAGTGAAAGTGAACGTGACTACTCCCAGGAAAATTTGAAAAAAATTGTTGAATATATCCAATGCTTGTCTTTTGATGAAGTGTATCAAAAATATAATGCTGATTGAAGCATATATTATATGATTTATATAAACTGATATATGACCTCTGCTTTCCATTTATCAGAGTGAAGAGATCTACAATACTGAGGCCAAAGTCTAAGGGTATCATAAAATGTAGTAAAAGAAAACAATCCTTGCAGTGGAAATACAGAATATCTAAAAAATCAGTAGATAAAGAAAATTTTAGAGATTTTGTTAAAAGATACAACAAAATAATCAACTTAACTCAAGTTGCTCAAAGTAATTATCACATTTATAAGTCAAGTAACAAATCAAAGGCTACATGGCAGATTATAAATAAACATAAAAAAATTACCCCCAACGAACAAATCACAGAACTTGTGTATAATGGTAAAAGTGTTACTAATCCTTTAAAGTTTGCTCAACTTTTTATGACTTTCAACGACTACTATATTAACATTACAACATTTAAACAAAATAAAAATCCTAACTTCTAATCTACTTGTAAATACAACAGTCCTTCTTGTTTTTTTATGAAGCCCACTAATCGTAAATCCACACAGATAATTAATTAATAATCTTAAAAACACAAAAAGCACGGGCTATGACGACATAAACACTAGGGTTCTCAAAAGTGCGTGTTCAACTATATCCCCAATTTTAAGTTACATCGCAAATCTTTGCTTTGAACAAGGTGTTTATCCTACTACTACAATAATTAAACCCATATATATAAAAAAATTACAGAAGAGACTTAAAACATTACAGACCAGTGGCTTTAATACCAGTACTCTCAAAGCTTTTTGCAAAAGTCATATACAATAGCCATATAGTCATATACCTGTACGATTACTTTGAAACTAAAAACATATTTTCAAACGAACAAAAAGGATTCCGAGAAGGAAAATCAATAGATGTAGCGATTTACGAGTTTTTGAGTATATATATTCAGGAATGGATAAAAAACGGCAAGTCTTCGCAATGTTTTTAGACATGACGAAGGCTTTTGATTTTGTTAATCATAGAATACTTTTAGAAAAACTGGAGACCTACGGCGTTCGAGGTAACACATTGTCTGTATTAAAGTCCTATCTTAGTGACAGAATTCAATTAACAAAAATAAACAGAATTTGCAATAAAACAAATACCGAAAAAGTATCCAGATCAAATTCGCTTATTCATGGTGTCCCTCAAGGAAGTATCCTGGGGCCACTCCTATTTTTAATTTATATTAAAGATATAACAAAATACACACCTTATCCGATGGTACTATTTGCAGATGATTGTACTATACTGTACGAAGACAAATCCAAAATACTTGACTTCAAGATTGCGTTACGGAATAATTTTCTGGGGTAATGCAATAAATGTGAAGAGTGTTCCAAGCGCAAAAAAAATGTATTAGAGCTATGTGTGGTTTAAAACAAACAGACAGCTGTAGGCCTTTTTTTAAGAAACAGATTAATAATGTTAACATTTCTTTACGTATTTAACATCGCAGTTTTCATCAGAGGCAATCCAAAATTCTTCAAGTATGTTAAGAGTGCCCGTAGGATTGATAAACTTGACAGCGTAAGTGGGAGATCTGCCCTTATATGTAACAGTATTATTGTAATGAGTGCCAAGATTTATAATAAATTACCATCTGACATAAGGAACATTAAGGATATTGTGACATTTAAAAGAAATTTATTTAAATACATTGTTAATGAAACATTTTACTCTATTGATTAGTATTTGAATCCTAATAATTTGATATTTTTAATTATTATTTTAATCAAAATATTTTTAGTTTGTAGAATCAAAATATTGTATATTGACAATGTAATGAATATAATTAGTGGTGTCAGACATACTAATATTAGTTAAGGACTTTATAAATTGTACTTTTACTTTTACGTTTACTCATTTACTTCGCATGCCTCGAGACGCAACATAGAGGGTCACCATAAAGTTTATTTATCACCATGTATTTCAATATATCTACTGTAACCTATGTTGACGAATAAATATGTTTGAATTTGAATATATTTGGATTTGAAACTGACCTGTGCACTTTAGCGAGTGGGAAATGCATGCAGATCTTCTGGTACAACTCTGTGAAGTGCTTGTAGGAGCGGTAGACTACGAACGGCGTCGTCTGCCCTTGCCTGTAGATGCGTAGCGCGTACACGTAGTGCTTTTCCGGGTCGTAGCGCTTCTCATAGCCGAGGCACTCTACGCTGACTAGACGCCCTTCTTGGGCCATTCTGGAACATACCAACGAGAGTTATGGGTCGTTTTATGGGAGTTTTAAAGGCGAGAGTGAATAGGCATTATACAGGTGCACCTATTGTCGACTTCATCGTGATTTTCCATCAAGAGAGATGGAAGTCAAATACACACTTATTTCTAAAATAAAAAACAGGAGAGGTCTAAGGTTCGAATTCGTGTTTGTGAAATATGTCGTAATGCTTCTTGGGAAGGAGTTCGTCCAGGAAAGTAGTGTCACTTTAACTATTTTTACCGCCAACTGGTCTGCCACGCGGAAGTCCCGGGTTCGATCCCCGCTACATAAATGTGGTAACGTTATCATTCCGGTAATGAGGGGTTAGCGTGGTGGTAATAGAGACTGACGTGTAGGTCCTCGGCATGAAGGAGAGCAGGTCCGAGGTGTTGGAGGTCTGGTCGCCGCTGGCGCGCAGCTGCGCCAGGTTGTGCAGGAAGAAGTTGATGGGTGTGAACTTGCTCTTGAGCGAGGAGTGGATGAGGCGCGCGAAGGCCGCGGCCGCCTCGGCGCTGGACGCGGCGGGCAGCAGCGCCGCGCGCACGTACGCCACGGCCGCGCTCGACACGCCCGGCACGCCCGACGCCGCCATCTGCGGGAAGGGCCGACTGTACTAGCTCTGGAGGAGCTGCAGGATAGACACGTCTTCTGCGACACGTCACGAAAATTAAAAGAGCTCATGCCGTGCTAAGAAACCTGCAATAAAAATAATAATAACTGAGAGCCGATTAAAGGTCCTCACGAATAAAAACACGATAAGGAATCTGGTTGCACAATCACCTAACTTATTACATAAAAAATAAATTTTTTTAAAAAGAAAAACCACAGAAGTTGGAAGCCATACTAAGGGTCGTATTCCAAAACTCTACTCAATGCTCAAGTCAGAATTTGAGCAGACTCGAGTATGATTTCAAGCACTGGAAATACGACCCTAATGGCACAAGGATTTCTAGTGCTTTGAATCATACTCAAGTCCTGACTTGAGCATTGAGTAGAGTTCTAGAATACGACCCTTAGAGTCAAAGAAGTGCTCACTCAGTGCTCTCATTGCCGAAATCACACTCGTATTGAAAAGGTCAAGAAAAGTATTACATAAAATATTAAAATTATTGCTTGCACGCCACACAAACTCATTTTCCCTGTAGTTATTTCAGGCCGGAGCTAGAACCAAAAATGAATTGTTTCTGAGGTACTTAAAGGGAACTCTTAAGTGATAATTGTGATAACAATTCCGGACAGTCAATAAAGCCCGATGCTATTTTTAATAAAATCTTTAAGTCACTGATATCACGAATTTCGAGTGGTAGATGATGCTTCCTACAGAGATTGTTATAATTGGCAGAATTATGACAGTCATTTGTTTGATAGCACAAAAAACGGATAAACTTTTTTAATATATTATATATTTTCAAGCCGCGAAATGTAAATATGATTAAAATTAAAATTTCTTCGCGTCGAACTGACCTATTCGACTACTCAACCACTTGGTTTTTTCTTATGTCAGATATTATGTCTGGTATTAGAATAAATTATTCGTACTTCTACTAAGGTAAGGCCCCAAACGGCATTGGGATGGTGCGAGCAACGGTAGCCTAAAGCCTGGAGAGAAGACAAGATTTACAACATCGACAGAGGTCTTTTTATTCAAACGCACTGACCAGCGCAAAGAGGCCGAGGATGTGGTCCTGGTGCGAGCGCACGATGTTGAAGGCCATGCAGCAGAGCTCCACGAAGTGCTGGAACCGCTGCGTGGGCCGATCGCCGCCGTTGATCACATACACCATGTCGTGCGTCAGCACGAACGGCGCGCGGTCTCTATACAACAGACGGAAATACTTCATAAAATTCATTCGCTATAATGCAGGGTTTCTTAACCTGTGGTCCGTGAACCCCTAAGGGGTCCGTGTAAAGAACGCCGCGGATCCGTGGCGAGCCTACCTAACATAATGGAATAGCAACCGTCAGATTAACTATTAATATGTAATTAAATAAAGTTTAATCGCAAACAATATTATTATATTGTACTGTACTCGTATAATGAATAGACTATAATAAATACCTCTTAAAATTTCCAAACATCTGAGCGTCGCCGAGGAATTTTCCGAAGTCGATGTGGAAGAGATGGCCGGAGGTCTTCAACATGATGTTGTCGTTGTGGCGGTCGCAGATGCCCAGCAAGTACGTCGCCACACTATAGCCCGCGCACGACGCTGCAAAGACAAATTAAAATATTATAGCTTGACAACTATAAGCTCTCGGTTTGGATTGTCAAGGCAACCCGCAGTTTGACGGGCACGACGATTCTCACATACCACAGGACCAGGACCGTTTACTCTTTGACTAATGCAGACCACATAATACCGCCCTTTTCCGTCGGTCCTGATCATAACTAACGTAATCGACATTTTTAGCAAAATCGGGTTTTAAATTTATATGGGATCAGCAAAACGAGATGTACAACCCCTGTGATTTTTTTTGTATCTTATTTTGATTCAATTTTATTGTTTAGCATAATCAGCGTAATCCCATAATTACGCTGTATCAATAACTGAAGTGGACTGCTAATCTTCATGCTACAGATCGTAACTCTGAAAAAGGTCAACATTTTGTCGTATATCAAGATGGCGCTGATCTATAGCTTGGAAGTAGTTTACATAATGTAAATGGCCGTAGATATGAATTAAATACTCTATGAAATATAAGAAGTCAGTTTCTTTTCCTTGTAATTATTATTTAAATATTGATCAAGAGCTAAAATTATTTTCCGTACTTTGACAAATATGCGTGTCAATAGATTGCATCGTGTGTTACAAACTAATTTATAAATTAACTCTTCGGAATATAAATAAAAAATAAAAGAAAATCCATAAACATCAGAGATATAACCGCCATCTAGTTAATTTGTTTATTATCACTAGAAATCAGAGTGCTTTAATAAATTGCAGCTTGTCAATGTAAAACAAATTAGTTACAAAAATAGCTATTTGGTACTCGTCTCTAGACCTGGAGTACATGGTACCATAGTCTGTCTTTTTTGAAGACGGGGTAATATGGCAGTTCTTTGTGCAAAAGCGTTGCCCGCTTGCGAGCAGCTAGGGATTTCAGTCGATAAGTATTCTATCGACTATCGACTGAATATTGGTCACGCTTATGGAATAAATAGCCGAAAAATAATCCTCGGCCAATTATTGAACACAGGTAATTTGAAATGTCAGTTTGTCTGAGTTCATACATACATAAACTGTATTTAGAACGATGTCTATGAAAAATATAAAGAGGAGACATATTTTTAACTGACTTCAAGAAAGGTTCTCAATTAGACTGCCTTTTAAATTTTTTTTATGTATGTTACGCGATAACTCCGGTATTTGTGAACCGATTTTGATGATTCTGTTTTTTGTTGAAAAGAGGGTACCACCATAGTGGTCCCATTTAATTTTGAAGAAAATCATCCACCTCTAAGGGTCACGCATGAAGGCTTATTTTAATGGTTGATTTTGCTGTGTTCCAATTGAAGGCATATTTCATGCAATATACTTTAAGCAATGAGCACTGAAACCGGAAAGAGAATATCTCAGTATTAGTCTCATTTATAATTGAAGATAATATTCCACCTCTAAGGGTGGCAAACTAGGGGATGAATCCGGTTTCGCGCACTTTCAGGTAACCGATTTCAATAAAACTTGGCAAATAGATGTAATTCCACGAGCTTTTGAGGTCGGTTTTACTGTACTGAGATTGAGGATTTTTAATTCAATTTACATAATATATTTTTTTGTTCAAATGTATATGAATATTTATATCGGTACTAGTAGACCAACTGTCAAAATAAGAATAAAGATGGCAATAAATCAATCATTACTTACTATAACGTCATCTCATTCACAATTCAGTCATTTTTGGCAAAATTAAATCTTCTTTCACAATATATCGATAAAATTGTCGACAATAACTACATGACTATTTAAAATTTTATGAAAACTGGCAAGCCTATAACAGACTATAAATACCCGATTACACTGTCTGGTATCGCGATTAGCAGTCATATGGAGCTGTTGGTCTATGGTGTAATTGACATTATTTACTAGCAAAAAAAATGCAAAACCGTTAGTTATGACAACGAGGGCAGACTTGGAAACAATATAACGACTACTCCATACTCAAACTTACATGTAAAGTTGTCTCTAGCGCGTTGGTACTCCAATTCAGAAGGGTTGTGCTTGGCCAGCCATTCAGCGATAGGCTTATCTTTAAACGACCCCGTTAAACCCCATTCGGTTTGAATAGCTCTCAAGGTTTCGGCTTCATTAACGATTTCTATCATCCCCCTCTGATTGCTGGTGGGTAGGGCTTGGAAAGTCACTATTCGGAGGTCCAGGCCTGCTCTCAACCAGAGGTTGTCCATTATTTTTATTACTTGCAACACAAGCGCATCTTGTCGAAGATCATCACCAACCTAAGAAAGAAATGTAATATAATAAAACATAATTATAAAGAAACAAAATAATGTAAAAATAGATGGCGCCAATCCTAAACAAAGCAAAAGAATAGCCGGCACTATCCATAAAAAATCTGTGCAATAAGCGCTATGTAGTTGATTTGTTTGTTATCACTAGAAATTAGAGTGATTTAATACGTTAACATTCGTAGTGAGACTCCACTTCACATTCTGCAAAGAAAGGTAGTGACGCGAAATGTATGTGTTCATGCGTATTTTATGAAAGTATAAGTGTTATTTTACGTGTAATGTATATCGGTATTCCTTTCTAAGGGTTTGCACCCCAACTTGACAAGTTTGAACAAACTTAAAATATATTCGGTAATGGACATAACATTTTATGACATCATTAGATTAAGTCATATATTTAGTTAAAATAAATATAATATTTACTGTTTGGATGGATTGAGACATTATCTAATGATATAGGACGTTATTTATTCTTACATACCTGATGTTCTCATGTCTGTTCGGTTACACGTGATATTCTATTACATAATACTTTGTAACTCTGAAATTGAGGCTTTTTATAGACTTTTTGACATAAAGGTGTAATAGAAAGTGGCAAACGTACTTTGAACATGGCTGGAATGACTGCATTGTCGTTGCCAATGAAGTTGATTTTCAGAGGAAGCGTGTTCGAGGGGAAGCACAAACAAGACCTGTGGGAAATAAAAAAAATATTGGTACTCATCATCATTTGGTTCAACGTAAATCTCACTACCGGGCACGAATTTCCTCTAAGGAGAGGGTTTAGTTACGTGTTCAAGGAGTTATAAAAAAATATTGTTTTTAATACAGTTGCTCAAAACGTGGTATTTTTCGCACTACAAATCGTGCGGAAAGTTGGATTTCTCGCACTAGTGCTTTTTACTTTTCCAGTTTTTTTTTAATTTACTGTTGTTTTGAAGTCTTAAACATAGAACTAAAGAAGTTGTATATTTATTTAATATTTATGTGCTTTGTGACGTACATAAGTCATTCGTCATTAAAACTTATATTTATTTACAAATACTATATAATGAACGTATCGAGTGGAGGTCCACAGTCTCTGCCTACCCCTGAATGGGTGACAGGCGAGATTTTTATGTATATATTTATTTGTTCTATGTATTACAGGTAAATTGTATCTCACTACCATGCACGGGTTCCTAAAGAAGTTTAAACAAAAGTACCAGGACTTCATAATAAGAAAAGTGGTTACAGACCGATATTACAGAAAATAAACAAAAACAGCACGTTAGAACTAGATTTCCATAGACATTTAACTAATGGTTGCAGTGGTTGTATTTCATTATTTTAATTTACTAGCAGAAAATGAGTTTTGTTTAAATACTGTTTTATTTTACTTTCAATGTAGTTTTTTCGCAAATGTATTAAAAAACGTCGTTTGATATACGTGCGGATTTGTCATTTTCACTTGTCTCGCGTCTTGACCCTCGCCTCTGGCTCGGGCCAAGAAGCCTCGAGACTCGTGAATAATGACTAACTTTCCGCACTTATATCAAAAATAACTATTTCACTTCATTAGCTCGGAAAGGCTTTCTTCCTCATTAGAAATCTGCGCGCAAAAGCGTTTTTATCACTCTGGCGTGGAAAAGGATTTTGATATTCGAAATTGACGATGGACTGTGATGCACCTAACATTTTTCTTCCCATGAAAAAAAATTACATAATGTAATGTACGTCCTTTGGTATATTATATTCTTAATATTGTTGACATTAAATTGATAAACCAATTTTGTTCATTGAACTATTTTGTTATAATTATTAATACAAAGATCGAACACTCAGAAAAAATTCCTTCGATCCGGTCGGATTCGAACCGACGTCTTCTTGTATACCGTGTCAGACGCTATACCAACTAATCTCATCAAAATCTGCAATAGATTTCTCATAGATGGCGCTACGACTAAAAAGTCGTTGAAAGACCAAGTACAAAGACACGACGCAAGCACATAGAAAAATTCGTGAGGCACGTCGGTTCGAATCCGACCGGATCGAAGGAATTTTTTCTAAGTATTTTTTCTAAATGTTCGATCTTTGTATTGATAATTATAACAAACTAGTGAAGTAATTTCACAAAAAATTATTGAATATCAATTCAATAAAAATTTAATTATTTTGTTATAGTTCAACTGTTTTTCTTTCAACTGCCGCTTTTTCGCCATAGGGAGGTGAAAAGCTGCGTGTTTCGCTCGGCAGCAAAGTTGTTTCGCGTCTCGCGTCCAACAAGTTGCGAACGGTCACCGTTCCTCGGCAGAGGACGGCTCAGGGCTCAAAAGGGCTGGGCGTACTTGACGTCGACGTCGTGCACCACCTTGTGCAGCGCCAGCGGCAGCGCGGCCGGGCTCTGGCGCAGCAGCGCCGCCAGCCGCTCGCCGCCCGCCGTGAGCGCGCGCCCGCGCTGGCTGTCCTTGGCGCCCTTCACCGACAGCGCCACCTCCGACAGCGTCTGCAACGCGCCACGTCGTTCCACCACACTTGCTCGGAAATAGTACGATTGCGTGGTAACTTGACCTAAAGCCCCAAATTAAACCCGAGGGCCTTTTTCTTCCCATTACATCCATGCAGTATTTTTTTTTATTTGTAGCACACACTTCCTTACGTAGGTCAGGAGTTTATGCAAGGAGGTTACTTATGTTCAAAATTAAACCATTCGCTTAAAATATTATCTAAACAGAAATTTTATTACAGTTCAGCCACATACCACTTAAATAGTTATTATTGAGAATTTTTTATAATTAATTTTAATTATTTTCTGTATAAAAATACCAACCAAATATTTTTATTAGTTCCGAATTGTATTATCTATGGAAGAATTTAAAAAAGCATTTATATATGCATTTATTTCCTCGCAAATATGATGAAAACATTGTATGTATCACGGCTGGTCAAAAAATACAAAACACGAATTATTAAAACCCCAATAGACAGATAGTAATTTCTTATTTATCGTGCTTAATACAGAATGTACTATTGTTACAGAATCATTAAGCTATTATCACCGACTTGGGTGTCTAAAATTCAAGTAAACAATATTACTTAGTGTAGATATCACCTACATTAACTTGCATTACTAACCTTAATAAAAATTATATACAAACATACAACTAATTCACTGTGTACAATAGTCTGGCGCATATACGTAAATTAAAGGTTATTTAATAAGATTAATGTATTGAGGTAAAGTTGTTATACGGAATAAATTTATCTTCGTCTTTACCTTGACCAGCAGCTGCTGGCGGTCCAGCGTGGCGGCCAGGTTCTCGCCCGCCACGGCCAGCAGCGCGCGCAGCAGCAGCCGGTAGCGGCCCTCGGTCGCCGCCGCCTCGGCGGCCGCCGCGGCCTCCATCGAGCTCTCCTCCAGCGAGATGCTCAGGAACTCTTGGCTCTACAAAAACAAGAAAACAACTAACAAACAAAAAACTTAATGAATAAAGGTACCAAACACAAACAATACGGTATAAATACAAAGATATGTGAGTGTTCACCAACACTGAAGGTTCCACTGAGCCTGTTCACTTTAAGAATGCAGCAGACAACTGATATATTAAGAGTATTATAATTTAAACCCTCAAATTGATGAGTTTGTAAACTACAACACGATCCTCCAACATTATTTTAAACACAATTGTAGTACCTTAATAAGACTGTCAATGTTGACGTAGAAAAATAGGCTTTTTCACTTATCATATTCTAAAAGTACGTCGTAAGCACGGAGTAAAGTGCAACCTTTGATCCCTAGGGAGTAAAAAGTACTTAATTTTTAATTCCATTCGAGTGAACAAACTCAAACAGGCAGTAGTAAGTAGGCTCGGTTTTAGTTCCGTGCCTTTTCCACATAGACGGTGGCGCCATATTGTTTTCCCGCATTAGTGCGTTCGTTGTATCTGGGTCTGGTTGAAAAAAAATACCGAAAAATTTCAGAATTTTGGTTCATAATTTTGTTGTAAAGCGAAAAAGATAGAAATATTTTCTTTTGCTCTCGCAATCAAAGTGAAAAGTAAAGATTTCATTTCGAGACTAAAAGCCAATATAAACCGTCGGAGTAATAGACACCCGAGCTAAAAAGCTCCGGGTGTCTAACCACCTCGGGTATATATTGTATACTCGTTTTAGTCCCTCGATAAAAAATATACTATTGAAAAAATTACCTGTCGCACGTTAGGCAAAGAATGCACTAGTAACCAGAACAACCGGTGAGCAACAGCCGGCGCCCTTAGCGCCCGTGACAGTAATAACTCTGTAACAATACAACACAAATTTCGAATCTTAAGATAAACTTATAAAACAGACCGCAAAATTGCGCAATTGGACATATACACCTAGTGTACAAAACATAAGACGTAACATTTCAAGAAGCATAAATACAAATGCAAACTAATTATTATTAAATCCAGAAAAACTAACATTGGTTTTAGAACTATTTACATCTAGGTAGTTGCGGCGGTTTAGAAATGAAAATATTACTCAACGGAGCAATAATCAGTTTATTGCGTTTATACATTTAAACGCGTTATTTGTAGTTTGTTTCGTGAACGTCATCGTAATGTCGCTCCACATAGATATTTTCTAAGGTTTTTTTTCTATATAATACCAAGTAATGCGACGAACAAGACGCCACAAAAAATATATGAATATCATTATAGATATTCAATAAAATAAATATTGGATACTTCAAGTTAAAAAAAGTGCTACACTACCCTGAGCAAGTTACTTGAAAAGATGATTGATGATAACATTGACTTACAATTATATGGACGTCGGGTCCGCGCTAAAAAGTGTCCGAACTTATAGGGCGTTAAAATCGTATACAGAGCGTCATTCACGCTTTAGTCTTCGTTTGTTCGACTGACAGCGAAGCAAGCAAAATTAGACAGTACTGCGATGACATTACAATTTAAATTCAACGTTTTAGCTTTTTCATATTCCTTTACATGTCACTACGATTAAATAGGTTGACTTGGGACATTTTTTCGTGGCTTTTGTATTAGACCCGTCGTCCATTTATTTGTAAGTCAATGGATGATATTGAAAGATTTCACAATGGTGTAATACTCGCCACTTTTCATTCCACTAAAAATATGATTACTTTTTTTTTTTTTTGCTAATTTTAGGGTTATTTATTTTCGAGTCAGTTTACTTGAGCTATAGATTAGGCTATGAGCTATAGTTAGGTAAAACTTGTTTTGTCAATCAGTTATTTTCATATAAAAAGATATATATACCATTAGTGGACTTTTCTTTTTTTTTCTTTTTTTTTTTTCACTAATGAAAACTAAGGGAAAAATAAAATGAATAAGAAAATAAAAGTTACGTATTAAAAAATACAACTTAATCAACAAAAATGTTCAGTAGTGAAAAATGTTGTGTACAGTACGTACTGGCAAGGGGGCCAGCCTCGTAGGTCTCGTGACGCAGCGCCTGCATCAGCTGTGGTAGCATGCAGCACAGCTCGTCGTCCGACAGGCCGTCCAGCAGTTCAGCTGCGATCTCGCGCACTGTTGCATCTGGGAAGCTGTAAACATCCAAGGTACAAGCTGATTAAATAGAAATATTTTGTAAAAAATACAGATGAAATTATCTTCAGCCCATTCATTGTACGGCCCACTGCCGGACACAAGCCGATTTCAAAACAATAGATTTGATAAAGAAACTTGAATGAATATATTGAGGATATCCAATCAGTTTATGTTCTTCAAATTGTAAAAAACTAAAAAATCAGCGGCTTAGGATTTTGGGCCAATCCTGAGTCAAGGTCTTTTCACTGCTAACAACAATTGTATGTTTTTACATTAGTAGTCCAGTAGGAGAACGGTTACATCTGAATTAAGAGGTCGCCGGCTTCAATTCTTAAGTTACGTTCAATTCTTAAGTAACTGTTTAGCGTCAATATCTCACGCTAAAGGTGAATGAAAACTTCGTTATGAAGCCTACGCGTCGGGGACTCCAAGCCCACATTGTGCCACGTTGGCGGACTATGGTCTAAATCCTCTCCTTCGAGGAAACCCGTGTCCAGCATTGGAACGTATAATGAGGTGATGTAGACAATCGTTTTTCTATGTTCTAGACAACCACGCTAACCTGATCTCAAACCAGAGAATTCCCTGTACTTTGAACGGAAATCGCTCTGGGGCACTTCCCAGAACATCCAGATAAGAATTAATTTAGAAAGTTCATTTCCCAATTTGGTCCTACCGGGAATAGAGCCCGGGAGCTCCTCGTCCAGCGCCCACAGTACAAACCGTTGGGCCACCGAGGACGTCGGTCTTTGTAAAGTAATGAGTACGGCTGTTAATGTACGATGTGACGTACCAAGGTAGCAGCAAATGCATGGCGTTGAGCGGCGACGGCTTCGCCCACAGGCGCAGCAGCGCGACGAGCTGCGCGCGGTGCTCGCCGTACCAGTGCGTGGCCGCCAGTAGGACCAACGGCAACGCGCCGGCAAGGTCCACCAGGTACTGACGTTTCTCCCACATTACCTACCAAATATTCTACGATAAGCTCAATTGGCACAAGATCTGGTGACAAGAGACGATTCGAAAGTGAGCTGCTTCATAAAACAATAAATTGTTAAGTCTTACCCGCGTCAAAAAAAACCAGAAGACGAGTGATCTTAAAAGAAGTCCAATACTGCGATCATAGACAATAAGATTCATCATCTCTGCCTATGTCACGGAGATAAGTGTTTTTTATTTAATTCTGACCTATCATTGTCGTCACAAAATAACAGGCACCTTTTGACACTTGTTATCGTAACGTAAATAGGCATCCCTATTTACGTTATGACGATTTTACGTATGAACTAAATATGTCGATAACCATATAAAACGATTCTCCCGAGAAATCGCTTCGAAATTTTATTTTTTCAGTTCTAAGTTATTATGCAATCAAGAGTTTAATATAAATAATAAGTATGTTAAATGACAATCTGTGATTGTTGTTGTAGTATAGTGACATCAACAGCGTTCACGTTCAAAATCATCAGTATCACTTGTATGTATAATTATTTCATTTTCAATCATATTACCAATGTTAACATCTCTATTAAAATCAAAAGCATTTTTTTTTAAGTGGAATTGATTTGTCTCGGCAAAATTCCGCGATTAATTGGTTATTATACTACTATACATACAAAAAAAAATTAAAAAAATTAAATTATCTTGCACATAATAAGTTCTCTTTAAAATAGGAACCATTGTAATACCTCTCTGCATTCGGTCGGCATCTTCTGATAAGCGCCTTGTTCTATAAGATGCAGCAACTGCGACTGCGTGTGGCCGTCCAACGATTCGAACGACGGTAGATCTGCTCGCGACAATTCTTTCTCTTTGTGCGCCTCGTCCCTCCACACCACACCCGTGTGAGTGTACAAAGGTATTTCTGTGATAAAAATTAAATAGATTCCTGTTAATGACCAATTACCATTGGACCTTGCAGCGGTGGCGGCAGATCTGAGTTATTATATCAATATGCGTGTGTTCGGTATGAGAAATTAGTTGTTCAAAATTCCGCAACATGGCGATGGTTCGCGGAAATTAGCAGAATTAAAATTGTATAAACATGGTCTATTTTTCACAGGAGTGAAAGTGAGTTGCTCTGTAGGCAGTATTTTACCCCTGGCGAGTGATTTCGGCGACAATGGCTAATCTCCGGACAAAACAATCAAGGCGTTTCGTATAAGAAACTGGAAGCGACTAAATTGTCGGATTAAATGATCAGGCGCTTCGTTTCTTTAAAATTAAGTGGGTTTTTTTGTTGCTAAATAGATTCTAGTGACAAAGTCGCTAAGTTGACAACGCTGCAAGTCGTATAAAAAACTGTAGTTAAGATCAAAAGAAAATTTACCAATATTAACCCAAGGATGGGGCCCAGGCGGCGAGTTCATAGGATGAGGCGCTGGTCCCATGCGTCCATCGCAATAAGTGGGCCACAGTGGCAGGATATAGTGGCCTGACGCAAGCATTCTGTATAGAAGAGACACGTTATTATGATAATCATTTTTAATCATAAAAAAGTCGGGTAATGTAACTCGTACAAAATGCTTGGATTCAGTTGCAAAGCGTGTCAAGAGGCTTATAGGTGAATCGGAATTAGTAGTCGTGAAGCTGCAGAGCCTTGAACACCGTCGTGAAGTTGCCTGCTTATCGCTATTCTACAGGATATATCACGGAGTATGCGAGGGAATCGCACGATTTAATTCCGCCTTCCCCTGTCCATTGTCGAGGACCAGACGTTGGCTGGGGTTCCACCACTAAGTTGTGGATATTCCAAGGATTTGCACGAAGCGTTACGCTTCCACATACATATGGCGAACGGCTATCGAGTGCAATTCCCGGCGTGCAGACTTGTTCCCTGAACGATTTAACTTGGGCTTTTCAAGGCTATCGTCGACTTCATTGTCAATTGCCATCACATAAGATAGAAGTCCCAATTGACTTCTATCTTATATGATGGTGAAAAAATGGTTTTATTCGTGTACATTTTGTCACAAGTTGCTGGACTTTTTAAATTAGTTTGTCGGCAACAGATAAAAATTCTAAAACACACCCGTTGTAATCAAAGAGCTGTATAGCCGACCACCCAAGTTCGACCTGCTCGTACTGAAGATGACCGTTGTCTTCACCGTTCTCGCTGTTCTGCTGATTGTTTTCGTTGTTCTCGGCAGCTTTGTTGTCCACTGCTCTTAGAGTTCGTCCGTAAAGGATGATAATCAAACGCGACTCGCGAGGCAGTGCGTTTATTGGCAAGTCTTCTAGATTAAGCCTGTAACAAATAACAGGGAATTACAACATTTACAGGCATATACGATATACAATCCACATATACAATGTATCCGCGGATGTAGTACTATAGTTCTATGATGAATTTTATCAAATAAAACACCCCATATGAGGGTGGTTCCTCATACCATTGAAAACAGCTGCTTTTTATCTTATTTTGAGAAAATTATACTTGCCTGCATCACCTATGAGATTGATTCACAAACTTGACATAGTTAAATTTTGATGTCATTTGAATGCTGAGAACCTGAACAAGTACATTTTGCGCTAATAGAAACAGGATAAAGTAAAAAATTGCATATTTTTTAAAATGTACTACGAAAACAAAGAGATTAATTTCTTTACTTTTTTGTATATTATTGACACATTTTGAGCTTTTTTAGAAATAGAAAAATGTTATATTTTGTCACTTTTTCTGCGCGAGCACATTAAGCAGGTAGTCTCAAGCCGATTATGACCCTTCCAGATCGACCTAGGTAGTAAAATTTGTGGATAATATTAGACGGTAACATCAAAATTTTGATATTATTATAATAATTAAATTTTGATAATAATATTGTCTTTGCACTTACTTAATTTGTGAATGAATTTACATTGAGTTTACGATGGCAGGTGTCGCCAGCGATCACGTAAATATGTGTACACTAAATGTAAAAACTTACCAGGTGTCAAATATGATTCTCGGGTAGAATCCCCCGCTTTCAATTTTGGAGGACAGTGTGACGTGTTTTGTCTTCAACGGGCGCGTCCCGTAGTAGACTTGAGCTTGGAACAAATATTCGTCATGGTTCCAGGAGTGGGGCAGGCAGTGCACTGCTTCGATGCAGAACAGGGTTGTCTCGGAGATAGAGTGAGCTGGCACCGCTTCTGAAGAAAGTATTACTCATTAGAATAGGCGCCTCCAACTTTTGAATTGTACACCAAGGCTGGTAACAGATTGACTGCATGTTTACAGTTAACGCGTGAAGTCGTAATCAACTTCATGCAGGCTTAGTTAAAAATAGTATGCATGCAACGTAAAACTTTGAAATGTCGCAGTATGGGTACTGCGACAGTGTGGGTTCCACATAGGATGGGTCCTATGTGGAATAGACTGTAATTACTAAGTTACGTACATTATTAGTAGTGCCTCACACTAACGGTGTAGGTAAATATCGTGACAAAATCTGCACGTCGAAGAAGAAACGACGAAGAAGGACAAACGAAGAAACGACGAAGAAACGACGAAGAAGGACAAACGAATAATACTTGAAAAACAAATATTTGAAATTTGTCGGGCCAAACTAATAATTGGAGCAATTGAGCCATACCGAGTTAATTTTTATTTATTATGATATAGATATTCTAAACAAGGTAGATAATTGTGTAGTATCTTGCTATGTTGTTTGTACCAGAGAAAAATATATTTTTCTACTCCTGTATTTTAATCTGTCAATTATAATTTCATTAACCATATCATAAAGGCGTTCCTTTTAGTTCTGAATCAAAATTGTATTGTCTGTGGTACTTGCCATTGAACTGAAAATTTTTGTTAAAATTCTGTACACAGAACTATAGTGAGTTTCAAGATAAAAACGTCGTATTTTTTCTAATTACAATATTAATTAGGACGCTACTCAAACACTACATTGCCCCCTGATTGGTTAATTTGGCATAAGTCTTGCAATCGGGCCATAAATCTTTATTAAAAAAATGATTGATTAAAATATATGCGGTACTTGGCTAGTTCTATTCTATATCTTTGGTTTGTTGTTTTGTAGCGTCTGTTTGGCTTTCATCTACGAGTAAATATATGAAGAGGCCGTATGGAACCTTTGCATACCCAAATAAATGAGTTAACATTTATTAAAAAAAAGTATTGTAATAAGGTTTTAAAATCTCATAGCTATTGCTTATATTTATTATATACCTATTACATACACTCGGCAAAGCCTCGTTGCCTAACACGGCACTCAACTATAAAAATGTACATTATGTAACTATTGCATAAAATACTATTTTAACACAGAAAAAAAACTATTTATTTGTTGTATGGAGAAATATGTTTTCGGTTTACAATGCCACAGAAAATTGTCAGACGCTTTGTTACAAAACAAACGGGCATGGAAGTCGCGAGTTGAATGAATAAAACAATTTACTAGTTCCATTATGCCTAGACTAACCAATGTCGGTGGAAATCGTTTTGAAATAAACTGAGGGGGTACTCACTATCAGGATTAGCGGGCGTGACGTAAGGCGCCTCGGCCAGCTGGAAGTCGAGCAGCCTGGTCCGGCTGTAGAGCGCCACGAGGGAGCGGACCGCGTCCCGGACGCGGCTGCACTGCTGCGCCAGCGCCTCGCGGGCCGTCGCCGGGCGGATCGACACCGACGAGTACTGGCCGTCGTCGGCGTGGATCACGGGGGTCACGGCGTTGCTGTTGCCCTGAGGACCGACTCTTGTTATCGAGTAGCCGATCTCGTGTACTATACCAGTGGCCTAATCTCAACTTGGGAATTGAGTACTATGAGCACCAGAGCGTCGGAATTCATTGGGCATTTTCCAATTTGGTCCTTCCGGGAATCGAACCCGGGACCTTCTCACCCAGCGCTGTCGCAACCGTTGGGACATCGAGGTCGTCAGCACGTCTCTGTCGACAGATTTGTCTAAAATTTACAAAAATGGACCACGAAATAATAGGGGGAAATGTGTAATGTTAACGAAACATGACGTCACAACCTATATTAGACCTCTCTCACTAATAGACCACTAAAATAAATAAATGGATTTAGAATAAACCTTAAGTTTTATGCTTTTTGTGTAAATGCAATTGAAACGAAGTTTCAGTTCTATGTCGTAGGTTATTCTTAGTACCAGTAGAGCTCCTTGTGAAAGAGTTCATCCAGGATAGTACTGCCACCTTACCTATTTTTGCCGGCATGTTCTAATGTGGGCATTGCTGCATTCGGGTTTTGAAGGGTAAGGGTGCTGGCGAAATTGCGGGCACATGGGACTTGTCAACTTATGTCTCAGAATGACGAGCGCAGTGGCATTGCCCCTCGGATGTTTGCTATTTAGTGTCACTGCGACTGTTACGGCCAGGCGTGCGACTTGTTCGTACCACAAATTCGTTTTGTGAGTTTCGCGGCGGAGCTACCTGCGCGGTGCAGGCCTGCGCGAAGGCGTTGAGCGTGTGCGTGACGTGCAGCGTCTCGACGCCGCCGGCCAGCGCGCAGATGGCCTTGACGGCCTGGAACACGGCCTTGGGCGAGCAGCTGCCCTCGCCCCGCGTCACGCCCACGGCGCGCGACAGCTCGCCCTCCAGCGTCTCTGCGGGGCAACGTGCCTTTTTTACCAAACCCATTCCTGAACTTCACGGTACATGAAAACTTACACAAAGAAACATTCCAGACAGAAAAGCCGTTAAAACCGAAATACAAAGATCTACTGACTCGTTCCGTAGTTCAGTTGGGAAAGCGATAACTCTAGTATGACGAAATCTCTGGTTCGAACCCAGATGGATCGAAGGAATTTTTCTTAGTGTTTGTTCGATGTTTGGATCAATAATAACAACAAACTAGTAAAGTATTTTCACAAAAAAATTAATGAATATCATCGCAAAAACATTCTGATATTCTATAACATAAATGATTTTAATAATTTACTTCCAAAGTCAGATTAATTTTGAACAAAACAAAAAGGGTTGAAGGATCGAACACACAGAAAAATTTTCGTCGACCCAGTGGGTCTTGAACACACGTCTATGCTGCTGCGTTGAAAAGGTTATTAAAAAATCTCTCATTAGATGTCACTAACTAAGGTAAGTGGACCCGTGGCTCAGATGGTTAGAGCAAAGCTACGGTGCAGCATGGACGTGGGTTCGATCTTAGTATTTATAACCATAACAAAACTTGTGGAGTTATTTCACAAAAAAATCATATTAAATAAAAAAGGGCTCAACTTCAGTCTCGCATGCGGAGCAAGAGTGATTTGTTGGAAAAAAGTGAGTGACAATGGTAACCCCACCAGTAATCGAGATAAAGGCTGTCGTCGACAATGAAAGAGGGTAATACAGATACTCTTAAAGCTGTCATTTGCCGCTGGCCAGTAACCTCGTGACCATGTGAGCTTGTAACCGTTCCGTAATACCGGCAAGATAAAAAGAAATCATAGCATGGTAAGAAACCTGTAATTAGTGATAATCATTTAAATAATAACCACGAAAGTCTTATAATTTAAGAGAATCACCTACATTAACCTGCAACTAACTAATTGTAGCTCGAGCAAATAGGCTCTATTTGTTCTCACTTTACATATTTAGCCTAGTTTGCCTTTAAGGTCATGAATAATTGTCACTTACCAAGCAAAATAGAAAGGTTATCAAAAGACAACTGCGGTGAGGCTCCCTGCGTAGGCATCAGATCGTCCAGGGTCAAGTGTCCGTCTCTGGCGTCGTCCCGTTCCGTTCTCGCTAAAGAAACGTCCTTGCCGTCGTGTAGACATAGACGGACGTCTTTTTCTAGTCGCACGCATTCGCGAATGTAGTCGTACTCGCTCAGAGTACTGCCAGGCGTTAGGTATTCTTTTGCACCCCATACCTGTAGTACGGTTTCGTTACAGTTTAACCAGGCGGAACCAATTTTCAGCTATGGTCGTTGACATGAGAATGGGGTCGAATAAGTTTATTTGCCAGAATACAGTAAGTATCTTATGTAAAATTACCAATGTATTCAACCTGCAAGCAGGTGTGTAAATGTTAATTGAATTTTTCATATGGCCTCTACAGTGCGACGATCTCCGTGGTCGAATGGCTTGCTCATCGATTTTCATGGTAAGCCATCCCTGAGGTCCCGGGTTCGATATCCGGCCGGGTTAATGTAGAAAAACTAACTTTTCTATATAGTTGTGGGTCTGGGTGTTTGTGGTACCGTCGCGTCGTTGTTTCCGACTTCCATAACACAAGTGCTTTAGCTACTTGCATTGGAATCAGAACAACTTTTATTTATTTATTTTTTACAGTCAATTTCACTTTAAATTAGTAAATTCTAAACATTCTTTATTACTTTAGAAGCAATGTATCAAAAGCCTTTATGTCAATTGTAATTTAAAAGTAGATCCTTAGAATTTCTTTTTTAGAATTTCATTTAGTTTTTTTTTAGTTTAGCTTTTTTTTAGAATTTAATTTTAATAAATTATTGAACATTTTTTTAAATATGTAGAAGCAGCTATTTCTATAAATTTATTTATGGCGAGGAGGATAAACAAATGAAGGAAGAAGTGTTGTAAATGATCCTTTTGTGAAAATTTACACTGTGACTTGTCCTTAGTACTTTGTTTCCGAAATAAATTGGACAATAAATTATAAAAAATATGTACACTATGTAACGTATCCATAAAATATGGTTCTATATCAAATAGAAGTTATATATGAATAACTATATGTATTTTGAAATTATATTTTACTGATATCCTAAAAAATTTATTTTCCAAATTTTGTCGCTTTATTATTAAGGCGGCGGATATTATATATTAGCATTATTTTCAAAGGTTAATTACCTATTACCCTTTGAGTGGTCTTATAACCCATTGACCTATAATAAATGGATGTCGGGATCGCGCTAAAAAGTGTCCGCACCTATAGGGCGTTAAAATCGCATACAGAGCGTCAATCGCGCAACAGTCTTCGGTTGTTGCTGACAGTGCGGTTATCAATCATGCAGTACTATATAATAATAACTTGTAAAAATTACTGCAGCAAAGTGTAAAAACAGGATTTTGTATCATATTGTCACTAAACAAATATATTGTGTTATCATAGTTCTCATTTAAAAGTGTTATTTTGTACAGTTTTACAGTATTTAATTTAAGTTATATATGAATGAATCGTGAGTATAAATTACAAAAGCACACATAATAATCAAATAGCTAACTGTCCTTTTTCTACACATTACATGCGCAAAAGATGGAAAGAGACCCATAACGTCAATTTCAAGAAGCTTATATAAATTTCTTGGTCAAATTCAATTGTTCGAACCACAAGCGATTGAAATATTTAGAACAAAGAAACTATAGAGTCGCTTTGATTATAATCTTATTTTTAAAATGATTTTTTTTATTAAACGTTAGCAATAACTAACAAAATATTATTGTACTCGTTTTACGTCTTGGGATTACCTATCAGAAGTCAGAAACTACATTTGCCCGAAATACAAGCAAAATTAGGCAGTACTGCAATGATGTTACAATTTAAATTAAATGTTTTAGTTTTTTATATTTCGTTACATGTCACTCCGTTTGTGTAGGTTAACTTCGGACATTTTTTCGTGGTTTTTGTATTAGACCCGACGTCCATTTGTTGGTAGGTCAATGTTATAATCTTACTCTTTCGATATGGTCTTCAAACGTCAATATTCTACAATTACTATTACCTGAAGAAGTATGAAATGAATATGACGGATTTATTCATCTGTCAATACAGACGCACATTTGGCCACCATCTTCCCCAATGTTAAGCGAAGACGTGACCAACGATGATACTCACATGTCTAGACAATTTCTATTCACTAATCTTGAATTACCCTAAACAATTTTAGTCTTGAGCAGCCCCAAGTTGTACTTTTCGGGAAACTGAGCAACAAAAAACTTACCCTCAGCGAATATACTGAAATGTCTTCTCTTGCATCTTCTTCGAGAGAACAAACAATTTGAAGAATCACATGTTCCACAGTCGATTCAACTGAAATAGGAGACATAATTCTATACATGCTCTTTATTAGAGATTGCCACCAACTCGAATTAAGCGGCGTTCAGTACCGTGACGTGCAATTTGCATTTCTCAGTGCTGACGCTAGATAAAAATTCGCATCGGATCACGGCAGGCGTCGGAGCAAAAGCGACGTCACTGACACAAGTACGGATAGTTTCGTACAAAATGTACGGAACAATATAATCTTTCACTGACACTTGGCGTTCGTGGCACTTAACATCATTGGTGGTCACCGATATGTGCAGATAGGCTTTTACCCTTCATACGCGAATTCTATCAGTAGACTATCTATTAAGTTGTCACTTATTAGTGTTAAATTGGTGATAAAGCACGAATAAGTTCCGGAATTGGATAACCTAAGTTACAGGGCGTCGCCACTGCTATGGAACTCGGAGGGAAAGTACTCGTACTGTTCCTTTAATGCTATGTTACCAAAAAGGAATTAATTCTTGTAATTGATCCTTTCGATTGGCAAAAATACTAATTTAACTGCCTCCGTGGATATGAATCATGAATAGTCACAAAGCTGCCAATAAAACTTCATAGTTTTAACATTATAATAAGCTTACTTTAAGCGCGTCATGGTACGAAAAGTCAATGTAAGGTTAAAGTAATGTTGTTTTTAGAGGTAGTGATAGGCCCCCAGAACAAACATCCAGTCTACAGTGATTAACACTTTCCCTCGTAGCGCCACAGCCGTGTGAGGACCGGTATAGTACTATTATTTCCTCAGTGTTAAAACCTATACAGGTTAGATACCTACACCATGAGTTTACAGTCAGTAGCGAGCCCGTAAAATTTTTACAAAAAAATGTCACTTCTTGTATATGCTAGGGGTGCCATACAATTTTCGTTCCTTGTATATTGAGTTTGACTGTTTTTTTAATGATTTAAAGTGACAGGACGAACAAGTCGTGCGCCTGATGGTAAGCGACACACCTGTCCATAACAGTTGCAAAGCCACTCAGAGCTTTAAAACACAAAGATCTGAGGGGCACTGCACAGCGCCCGTCACCCTGAGACATAAGTTGATAAGTCTCATGTGCCTGGAATTTCACCAGCAACCTTACCCTTCGAAACCGAAACGCAGTAATGCTCACATTACTGCTTGGCGGTAGAAGTAGGTAAGGTGGCAGTACTTCCCTGGACGAACTCTTTCGCACGGTGCCCTATTGCTACGAATCTGTACAGCTGTTGTAATGGATTCAACGTACCATCGGAGGTGAACGTGATGGGCTCGTCGGAGTGCGCGTGGTGCACCAGCATCTTGATGCTTGTGTTGGGCGGGTAGCGGCCGCCCGACCGCGCCGCTATCACGTGGCCGGGGTTCGTATTCTCATCAGAGTACACGTATTTTTCTGTCACAAATAAAATATATACTTAACAAACCGTTATGTTCATCGTTATTGCAAATTATAAATATTTAGTATTGCTTCTTTCAAAGTGAGGTGTTATCAGGGGTACCATCCGTCCGGATTTTTCGACTTAGGGCATTGACTTACAATTATATGGACGTCGGGTCCGCGCTAAAAAGTGTCCGCCTTGTAAGGCGTTAAAATCGTATACAGAGCGCGACACTCCGCTTTAGTCTTCATTTGTTCTACTGACAGCGCGATACTGCGATGACATTACAATTTAAATTTCGAATAGGTTGACTTGGGACATTTTTTTCGTGGTTTTTGTATTAGACCCGTCGTCCATTTATTTGTAAGTCAATGACTTAGGGTAACAATTTTCAGAATAAAAAGTAAAATATCCAACTCGCAATACTGTACAGTCTCTCGTACTGCGCGGGATAATAAGGGGATTAATAAATAAATAACCAAAAGAAAAAACAAAAGTGAATTGTGGCGCCGCGCTCACTTTCACTCCCTTACTCGCTTTCTAATCTACGGACGTGTACTGAGCCAACACGATGGTCTCAGTAGCGTCTTTAGATAGGTTTCAATGCGGAATAATAATAGTCGCAATTTATAGGATATTTTTATAATAATATCAATAAAAGACTTGTTCCGTTAATAGTACTAAAATTAATAAAAAATTAACCAGGCTATCATTTGGTTTTTTGTAAGGCATTAAAAACAATTTATTTTTGACCTGCAATTTCCTGCAAAAAAGAAAATCGTTATTAATAATATTTAACGTAAAACGGAACGGATTTTTATTTAATTTTTTGTGGTCAATGACAGATCAGGTGTGAATGTCATTCTAGTTGCAATTTAAGAGTTTTTACTGAAATACTGAAGACTTACATCGAAACATTTTGTACTGAAGAATAATCTCAGTACAGAGTACTACGAAAACCGACCTGAACAGTACGTGGAATTACATCTATTAGCCAAGTTTTATTGAAATATTCCCTAGTTCGCCACTATACAGGACTTGACACTGGAGATAATAAAAATCGGTTCTCACTACTCAAAGTACATTGAGAGAGAAAAACGAATTGGAAACTTGAATTGGAGAATAACAAAACTAACCATTAAAATAATTGCTCCTTAAGTAAAATTTAGGCGCTATTTATAAATATGAATGTTAATGCGTGATCAGAGGACGATGATTTCCTTCAAAATGAAATGGGACCACTATGGAGGTACCGTCTTTCCAACAAAAAAATAATCATGAAAATCGGTTCACAAATGCTGTGAGTTATCGCGTAACATACATACAAAAAAAATACAGTCGAATTGAGAACCTCCTCCTTTTTTGAAGTCGGTTAAAAAGAGAAACTAATGACCAGGCAGTATGGTCCCTGACCTTCGCCTGTTCCATGCAGTTTTTGAATAATTTAGCGTATAAGTATTGCTACTCTTTGGAGTTTTTTTAGTATCGCCGAGTAGCTGGTAATTAATTTAACATTGTACACTTTTGTTTTAAAACAATTTAAAAAAATGCAGGTCTCAATATTTTATTTATTATTCTCCTAAGCTCTATAACTAAAGCTTAATCATGTAGCAAAAACTTTAGGGCTGGTTAAATTTTTCTAGGATTAAAGTACCAAGCTCTATATTAATTCAGTACAAGTGTTTGGATAAAACTCAATTTACGACAAAAATTTTATATAATGTAGCCCGGGCGTTGCCCATCAATGCTACCATATGAGAGAGAGATTTTCGATTTTATTTTGTTGCTAAAAAGTTCATACTTCCTTTCAAATATCAGCTTTTTGTCCAGACTATTCCAATTTAAATGGACTCTGCCTAATCTGATTTCTGGTCATAACTTAAACTGGATGAATGTTAACATTGTTCATTTATTCACCTAAAGGACCCGTCTAACTGCAAAATCCAATGCAATAACCCAGTAGTTCAGAGAGAGGCTATAACCACTCTACGCGTACAACTTCCTTGAAGTAAATATATTTTGATACACGGATTTGGATAAAATTTAGTATGTAGACAATTTAGATAACCTGCACGTGCACGTTGGATACTTTTTAAAGAGTACGAAGTCACGGATGGAAAGTAGTATCCTTAAGGATATAAGAAAGAGAAGTGATTGAATTGTGTCACCATGAAGTATAAAATATTTATGATAATTAAAATGGTACTTATACTCACTTCTAACATCAAGAACCATATTCAAGAAGGCCTTGTATTCGCTGTCGTAATTCTTTGTCCTACTTTTAACTATGCAGTCGTAAAGTTTTTTCTGAAACAATTAATAAAAAAGTCGTTAAAAAACGAAAAACAAGGATCTGCAACAAGCACATGGAAAAATTCGTGAGGTCCGCTAGTTCGCTGCGTGGCTTAGTTGGAATAGCGTCTGGTTTGCTAGAAGACATTGGTTCGAATCCAGCCGGATCGAACGATTTTTTTCTACGCGTTCGATCTTTATATTAATAATTATAACAAAGTAGTGGAGTAATTTCACAAAAAATAATTAAATATCATGATGGTGAAACATGTTGACATTCAATAGGTTTAATTACAATAAATGTCGAATTACTTTACAAATAATCACAATTTTAGTACAAATAGATGGCACTTCTACTTATCCACCATTTAGCGTATTTTTTTTACTTTACACAGCCACTCATAGCCCCGCACTAGGAAGACCCTGTATCGCGGGTGCCATGGATACACACATAGACAACCACAAATTACACCCGAATTCACGAGAGAAATAAATGTAGGACATTCGAATATTTTTCCCGGCCCGGGAATTAAACCCGGGATCTATACATGGCAGCCAGGCACGGCATTTCTAAATTAAAAATGAAATTAATTACAATATAAAAAATAATGTTATTGAATAGTTTTCGTTGCGATGTAAATGTAACACTCAACAACTAGATAATATAGAAGCTTGTCAAAGCTACAAGTTTTTATTTATTTGTTTATTTAGATACACTATCGGCACATTATAGAAAAAATTTTACATTGTTATGCATTGACTTACAATTATATGGACGTCGGGTCCGCGCTAAAAAGTGTCCGAACTTATAGGGCGTTAAAATCGTATACAGAGCGTCATTTACGCTTTAGTCTTCGTTTGTTCGACTGACAGCGAAGCAAGCAAAATTAGACAGTACTGCGATGACATTACAATTTAAATTCAACGTTTTAGCTTTTTCATATTCCTTTACATGTCACTACGTTTAAATAGGTTGACTTGGGACATTTTTTTCGTGGTTTTTGTATTAGACCCGTCGTCCATTTATTTGTATGTCGATGTTGTTATGGCATAGAAATTTTTATACAGTATATTGTACCAGGTGCATACAATATTTACGCAAGATATCATAAGTCGTCAAATAAACAAGCGCGGCCTGGGATGTTTTTACACGCGGTGTACACTCGCCAGAATTTGGTACAGTACATAGTACAGGGAATTCTCTAGTTTGAGGCCTGGTAATAGTTGTGGTCAAGTATGTTCATCATCATCATGAACTCATTTATACGTCCCCACTGCTGGCCACGAGTCTCCTTAGAGGCGAGGGTTTAGGCTATATTCGTGCAGGTTTCATCACGATGTGTTCCTTTTCCGGTGCGAGCCCGGATTCGAACCCACGGCCTCGGGTTGACGGCGGTAGGTCAAACCAAAACATTACGCTACCATGGCTTTTGGATAGTAGTCAAGCACATTTTTATTACAATATTTACTGTCAAACCTCATTTCACTGATCGCCCGCCTCGGCTCAGGAATGAATTAAAAATCAATAAAGATAAACTCACTAGATGTTACTAGCAGCGACGAATGCCGAAAGTCAGTAGAAAGATCTTTAACAAAAACACTGTGGCTCAGTTGGTAAGAGCAATGCTGCGGTACAGCATGACCGTGGGTTCAAGTCCCACCGGGTCGAAGACACTTTTCTATGTGTTCTATCTTTGTTTTAATAATGAAGATAAAACAAATTGGATACTTACTGTTGTACTCCTTTTGGCCACAGCAGGCACTGAAGGCATGCTCTTGGGCGGCAGTGAGGGAAGCGTAGCGCTCTCCTTCTTATTCACAGTCGAATACATAAATATTGTATCTCGCATCTCTGTCTCTCCGTATAGAAAATCTAGAGGGTCGTATTCTTCATACACGCTACTTGAGCATTCACTTGCAACCTTGTGTTCTGAATAAGAGAAAAGTTTGTGTTAGAATTTATTTATAGAACGGTGACGCAAGTTTGAATTTCGACTTTAGATAGTGTTGTAAAATCAAGCTTAGTGGCATTGACAAAATGTTTTCCTACAATTATTAAATTATATAACACATTCCTTCCTCCCAGCGCTCAAGTCATCAAACACTGTTAAGAATTATAATAGTAAACAGTTTATTAGAAACCCCAGTCAGGGACGATACGATATTATTAAATAAATATATTTAGCCAAATATTATTTGGGCCTATGAATACATCAGTTAGAAAGGCTTATGTATAGTCTGTCATTTTTGAAGATGGACTAAAATGACAGTTCATTGCACAAAAGTGTTGCCGCTTCCAAGTAGCTAGGGATTGCAGTCGACGGATATTCTATTGATATCGATTGGATGTTGGTTACGTTTATTCGATAAATAGCCGAACTTGTTTCATTTAAATCATCATCGGCCCGTTAGTAGACCAACTGCTATGCATATGTTCGTTTGAATAGTCAATTACATACAAACACTGCATTTAGAACTACGTCCATTAAAAATACAAAGAAGAGACATATTTTTAGTTTTTCATCTTAATTCATTATAGAATCCGCCTGTTCTTAATAAAATATATATGAATAGAAATTGATTTCGATACTCGTACGCCAACTGTCAAAATAAAAAAAAAATAAGGTAAAAACGCAATTGGTAATCATTAGTATTGTGCAACATTCACAATTCAGATATTTTTGGCAAAATGTTACCTTCTTTCACAATCTATCGATAAAACTGTCGATAACAACTACATGACTATTTATAATTTTATGTAAAATGGCAACCCTACAAATGTCATTTTACTCCGTCTTCAAAAAATACAGACTTTATTGTGTTTCAATAGGGTAATAAAATGTCTCATTTTTACACTTAAGGGTTGGTTCCTGGAATGCAACGTACAAATAAATGTATGTGGTTAGTCAAAATATCCGTATGGAATTAAAGTAAAAATACAAATTTAATCAATGATGTGTCACGCTGTGTGGCCATGTTGATCTACATTCTTTTGCCATTCTCATATTAGGGTGGTTGTGCTATGAGGTAGTTGGGATGTCATCTGGTTAGTGACGTATAATGAAACAGGAACAGTCTTACATAGTGTGTTTATTCATCCACAATATAATGAATCTTATTCCTACTCAACATTTCCTTCAATACGTTAACCAGTGACCTACTACATATCGCACCCTTAGTAATATAAGGGCACAATCCAAAAAAAGTAGATTTTTGGGAAATTTGGGAATTGATAGGGACTTAAATAATAAATGGGATCAAACTTATATAGCTCCATATTTCTGTTATATTTTTTGTACTATATGGGTCTAACTTGAAAGTGTTTTTTTAACTTGCTTGAAACTTATGGAATTTATTTATATTATTTTTTTTTATTGCTATTTATAATACATTTATCAAAGAACAAATCTGCCAAATTTCATATTTATAACTTAAATAATAAGCATGTTATTTGAAAAAATAGGTGTAATGTAGGAATCCAGAATCTATACGCGATTTCCCAAAAATCTACTTTTTTTGGATTCTGCCCTTATATTACTAAGGGTGCGATATGTCACATTGCATCAACACGTTACACCGTCTTTCGTAGTTTTGGAACTCCCCATTCAAGATAATTCCTGGCTTATAAAATACAGATCCAACTATAGTTTGATGGTCACTTTGTTATAAAAATCGTGTCTATTTAAAGAATTTCGTAATTCTTTACAAAATTCTTTAACGAACGAAGCGAACATCTGAAAAATTTTTTATATCGGATATTATCGGTTAATGATATGCCATGCCAACTTAACTGTAATAGTTTTTGGCATTATCATGATGAAAACGACGAATTTTATTAAGAAATTTACTATTCGCCAGTTCTGGGCGTTTCTCATGACTCAATGTCGTAAGTTCAATACTCAAAACTTTCCCGCGTCTTCTACATTTATTAAAATATTATTTTTTAAATGACCATGGACAATATCACAATTCAAAGGATTTATTCTGTTTAAAGGTAGCTGGTGGCAAAAACTGCACGAACTTATTGGCCAACTCATTACGCATAACAATATAGATCAGTCGATAATTTTAACAACACTATTGCATTAGGTTAGTCCTGTAATGATAGTTGCTAGCTTGTGTATATAAAGTATGTAAAAAAGTATTTTTTCCTAGCAAACTTAAAAATACACTATGAACCGACTGCGTCTTTAGTTCTATTCATCGCCAAAGATTAAGCCGATATAGCCCAAATAACATTTCGCGAGTTACTATCAAACCTTAATTTAATTGAAAATAAAATCTAACCAAATACCAAACAAAGTTGTGAAAACACCCACGGAGTTCAACACATATTGAAGTGATTTCAACATAGAGAGACAAACACTCAAGAAGTTCACTTGCCAACATGATAGCCAACACTAAGTTTACGTTTGTGTCCCGGTTTAGCAACCCCACGCAACTAGGACACATATGGTCCGTGTCCGGACGAACCGTTCCAAGAAGCATTAGGTAATGGTTTTTAGGGATATGTACGAATTTCGGTTTAGTTTATTGGATAGTACATTACGCAGATTGGTAAAGCCTTTTACCACGATGGCAAGCATTACAAATTGTGCCATCGATACGATAAGAAGTATCTGATATCAATGTCTTGCAACTGCCTCCATGGCGAACGTTTACCATACATCTGCCACGCAGACGTCCTGGATTTGATTGGGTCCAGAGCCGGGAAAAATATTTGTATGGCCTACGTTTATTTTTCTTAGTGAGTTTGGGTGTAATTTGAAGATATCTATGTGTGTGTCCATGGTACTCGCGATACCAGGTTTCCCTAAAGCGGGGCTATAAAATATAGAATACAAATTTATTTTCTCCCAATAGCTTACAAATATTACAAAGGCAGTTTGTACAAATATAGATATAAATAATGCTACAACGGGAGACTGGTGTCTAGGCTAGGTAAAACCTGTATTATGTATCACCAGGCCTCCACCCTACAGAAGTAACAGTAAAAATTGTACATATTTATAAACCAATAAAAAACTTAATAATTGGCATAAGGTGCGCGCGTGTGTGCATGTGGATGCGTGTGTGCGCGCGCATATGCGTGTTGCGCAAGAAAAGTGGTAAATACATTCAGATAGTTCTGCAGATGCAAGAAATTAAAAATGCTATATGTTCATCAACAACAGATCTTCAGTTTGTTCGTAATTCAAAGTAAGTAGCCAGTGGAAATGGTTAGTTTGAAACATTTTTTTTTAGTGGGTTCAGTTAAACAAAACTCGTGAAAAGCAAATAGAATTAAGCGGAAAAAGTCAGGAACGTAGCGACTGGTATTTAATTCATAGATTGGTTGCTTTCAGTCGGTCATATTTTGACAAGTTCGGTAGCCCAAAGATTTGCAATGCGGACCAGTTGTATCCTGTATTGGAGGGTCCAGCGCTACAAGTCCATGATACAATTTGCGGTAGAACTAATTTGGGAAACGGACTTTCCTAAATTGGTTCTCATCTCGAGTGTTCTGGGTATTGCCTGGGAGTGAATTCCGTTGCTCTGGAACTCATAGTACAGGGATTCCCTAGTTTGAGACCAGCAGGGCTAGCATAACATAAAGCGCGAGATACTGCTATTCTCGCAGAGAAACAAGTAATATCCCGCGCTTCTAGGTCGCTCTCGGGCAAGTCGAGCACTGTCGTGCTAGCCCTGCAGGTGATTGTTGTGGTTTAAAAAAAAATATAAATGCCCCCGCTAGAAGAACATTGGTGATGAAATATTTTATTCTCTGTTTTTATTTATCGGCTAAACATATTTGCAAGTGAACGACGTACTTAGGCACTCAGTGTCGTAATACTGAACACTAGATTGCGAGTTACAAACAAATGGATCGAAGTGAAAGTGATACAATGAAAATGATGGACTGTTAACTAATAAAACACCTTGATACGTACTTGGTTTTTTAGAAGAACCAATGAGTGCTGGAAAGATACTTTATAAAATACTAATTTATTTGTCCATAGCTACTTCACTATATAACCACATCTTTAAATAACTAAATGGTATCGAGTATATAACCAGAAATAGAGACGAAATATCATTTAATTTGTTTGAAAACTATTTTGCCGTATCATTACTGTGACAACTGCGCTCCGATTGGCCAGCCCCAATTCGAAACAATTGACGAGTGTCGTCAATGGGTGTCTGACGAAATTTCACTTCAAATCGACCAGTTAACTTGAGCTTCGCTATAATGGACGAAAATTGCAAAATTACATCTCTAATATTTAATTAACGATGAAATTTGATTCCGTTTGTTTTGTAATTAGATGTTTTGCTGCTTTTCCCCACACCACCGAATGGAACAGCACGCCATTAGAGATATTATCTTTATTACAATAAATACAGAATATTTTTAGCATATACGGAGATGCACACACAGGTCAGTTGTTGGCGCTGTACTATTCCAGCCTTCTAATTTGTAATTTCAGTGCATACATATATATATATATTTTTTTTTTTTTTCCACTATAGCAAAGCTCAAGTTAAACTGGTCGATTTGAAGTGAATGGCCAATCGGAGCGCAGTTGTCACCATAATGATACGGCAGAATAGTTTCCTAACAAATTAAATGATATTCGGGTCTATTTCTGGTTATATACTCTATGGTTGCCCGTTGAGTTCGCAGTATATTCAACAATAAAATTACTGACGTATTTTCTACAACAAAATAGGTAGATTGGTTTTTTCCTGATTCCGAATATGTAAGCAACTCAATTTTGATAAAAAAGTTAGTTAGTTGTGCCCTTTTTCGTTCTGAGGATAGTATTATACTCTTTCCAGCACTCATTAGCAGAAAATGAAGACACACAAACCACTCACCAACGTCGTTTGATTCAGTTAGTAGCGGATCAAACGCTTCAAGTACACTGACTCTTACGCTACCTGGTCCGCTTTTGCTCCTACCTCCGAAGTCGATCAGATTCATGGACGTCGGTAGACTACCCAAGGTGTCGTTCGACTCGGTTGACTGCAAAAATACATCGCTTATTTCAAACTTTACGTATATGATGAAATCGCATGAGATTATCCCGTGTCAATATTATCATAACGCAGCAGTAGAGCTGCAGACCTCTTTGTGGAAAAATTTCTACCGCCGAGCAGCAATGTGAGCATTACTCCGTTTTAGTTTCGAAGGGTGACGGTGCTGGTGAAATTACAGACACATGGGACTTGTGAACTTATGTCTCATGGTGACTGGGATCTTTGTTATTTAAAGCTCTGAGTGGCACTGCAACTGTTGTGGACAGATGTGTAGCTTACAACCAAGCGCACGACTTATTTGTCCCATCACTTGATATTATAAAGAAAGGATGGTTTTGATGCCACTTTGCGTAAGAGGTGCGCGTGTACACCGTGTTCGGGCCAGTCCCAACTCCACTCTCCGGTTCAGAAGATGAATACCCTATATTAAACACTGTTGTAGACTACACGCGGCCAAATATATAATTAAATCTTAACTTTTACTACCAATAGAATAAATGCACATCTTTGTAATACTAACACTAATGACTCTATTGACACTTGAAATAAATGTATTGTTATTAGATTATTTATACGTCCGCCGGCACGGGTCGGGTCTAAGGGTTTAGGCCACAGTACGCTATGCTATCTCAAGGCTAGCTCGGGTTGGCGTACAGTCCACTCACGTTTTCCAAGGGTTGTAACCTTCTTCGGATGTCTGCTTCTTACACATTTACTCGATTTTGTCTGATCAGCAGTGATCAGAATCGAGGAAGTTAATTTACCTAAAATATGAACGTTTTCTTAGTATGGACATACCTATTTCGTCATCAATGCTAAAGGTATTGTTGTCTTCAATGTCTTTACTGTTTTGTTTTCCAAACATCCCAAGATATAGGATGTCTCGTGTGTACTTTTTAATTGTTATAGTATTTAAAACGTCAAATTACCTATAGAAACATAACTGCAATATTATTTTTTGAGACAATAATTTGTAGCAAATACTTAATAGGAAATAATAATTAGTCGTCAATGTACTCAAATTTCAATAAATAATATGCATGTTCAATTATAATCAGCGTCCGAGAAGTCCCGGGATTTATGGAAAGGAATGTCCACGTTTAGGAAATGAAACTATTTTTCCGGATTTAAATCGCGTATATTTGTTTTTTCAAACAAACCGACGTTTCGGGCCCTTTACAGGTCCCATGGTCACGGTTGACGTCGGTTTGTTTGAAAAAACAAATATACGCGATTTAAATCCGGAAAAATAGTTTCATTTCCTATGTGTAACAATCGCGAAAACCTAAGAACTCGAAATGTCCACGTTATTCTTTGGTTTAGCCAAATCAACCTCTCAATTCCGGTCACCGTTGATCACATATGTTGTAGATCGACAAAAAATACGATGTTGAATACAAATTTACTTGTTTTGTTTGATCATGTATCTGTAAGCCCTTTTGACACAAGTGATGTTTTCCTTCGTTGTTAAAAATATTACTACTATATATTCATAAATTTAAGTAAATCAGAAATAAATGTCAAACGTAGGCATATCGCCACGGGGATTCAAACCGTAGACATGTCAATGGAGAAGCCACCTTTCTCCCACAAAGCTAAAACAGCGACAGTATTATGTTGAATGGAAATTTAAGTTTAAACACCTTTGTTACCCAATGACGTTATATTATTATAAGGGGTGGCTTCATTCAGGGCCTATGCATCCCCTCATCACTGCGACCTTTGACTGATCTATTGTGACCACCACTAATTACAGTGCACAGTCAAGGCCGACAACATTGAAGAACTGAAGGACTGTACTGGCTCCGACAGATTTAATGTCCTCTGGTTGTGGCACGTGCTTTCCCAGTACGGAACTTCGTAAGCCTATCAGGGGGTAGCATTGGGTGAGTAGATGAACAGGAGTTTCTTCCGCCTTGTGGCAGAATCTACATTTCTACATATTTGGCATGTGCTTTTTAAGCTACAATGCCCTGTTAAGGCTCTAGTGAGGATTCTTATGCCATTCCTGTCCAAATACAGAGCTTCTCTACAATGTTTGGCACTGTAGGCAGATATCAGGGCTTTTGAATGCTCAAGACATTAACAAAAATTGTTTTAAAACTCACCCCATTACTAACTTCTGATTGTTTCGACGCGTTGCTTTCAACGCTATCCCTCGAAGGCTCTGTCTTAACCGCGGTATGAGTATTATTGTTATTGGTCACATAGACATGGTGCGTTGTAGAAGCCGGCGGGTACGGGTGCATTTGATTCTGTACATTCTGTATCGCTCCAAGTGAAGGGTACAACGGTCGCGTTGGCCGCGCGATCATATTCGTTGTCGAGTAGTTGTAAGCTGGGGCTGGAGACTGGTGGCGGACGTAAGGACTCGGCGTTGCCATTCTAGTTTGGTTGTAAGGCACTCTTCCATACATAGAGCGGTAAGGACTGGGTTCAGGCGCTCCAGGCATGGGCTGCGGGTAATACGGGTAGTTAGTACCGGGCGGAGGCATGGGGTACGACGGTCCGGGCGGGTAGGGAGTTGGCATGTATGGAGGTGGGTATTGGTAGCCGTAAGGGGGGGTATAGGGGTACCCTGGCCGTTGATTGTAGTTCTGGTTGTTCATTGTGGCAGGGGGTTGTTCTGTTGTGCTAAGAGTTAAATCTTCTGTCTGTTGACCCAACCTGGAAAGACAAACGTGCGCTAAGTTACAATGAATAACAAAACTGTCTTAATATCAAACTAATAAAATAACAAAATTTAATGGCACCAGACTTTATTGAAAAAATTAGATTATTTTATTAAAAAAAATTTTGTCTATATTTATTGATCTACGGGTAAATTATAAACATTCAAGGTAACACTATTATTATGCTTAAGCATATTAAATTATTATTTGATCATCTTTTTTTATTATTGATCTTTTCTTTTAACGATTGATGCCATTTATAACCAGTATATATTTTAATATTGATAAGTCTTGGTTGCTTGATTGCGCCCTCCATTTAGTAGGTTAGATTAGTATATGAAAAAGCAGCACGAGCAGAGCGAGCGAAGCAGGCGTGTCGCAACAACAGCCGACAAGTGCCAGAAGCCAACTTGCTTGCGTTTCCGATAACATGTTTTAGGTCAAATTATAATTAATATAATATTACTACACAAATATAATCAACATTCACTTAGTTTTAAAAATAAGTATAGTTTTAAATTTTATTTTCTCATTTGTCTTAGTTTTGAGGTGATAAAGCTATCAAAGTTAATTTATAGAAATCAAGCATTGGTTGCTTAGCTCAGAACAGATGAAAATATCGATTAATTTGATTTATTTTATGTCTCAGAAAAAAAGGATGAATCTTAAAAAAGATTTTTTATATGCTGCTTTTGCAAATTTCAAATGATCATTTAAACATGCCTATATTAAGTGCCATATAGCGCCAGCGCAAAGTGGCGTACAGCGGGTCGAAAATGGAATTTCGGGACTTAGGGCATTTTTCTACAAATAACTATTTTTTTTATATATACATCTCACTATTATGATGAATAATTGTTATTAGACATTTTTGCCTAAAACTTTGTTGCATGTCATGGTACAAAATACTTTTGTTCCATGACATGCAAACATTCTCATAAAAAAATGTTAAGCGACGATGTGACCGATAACATGCCTTTATTAGAAAACGCATAGCCTGTCTAGTCTTGAATAGCCCCAAATTGAGGTTTTTAGGAAACAAAGATTTTTTTTAATGATACAGATGACAGTAGTAGTGGTAAGTGACACGCCTGTCCATAACAGTTGCAATGCCACTCAGAGCTATAATTCACAAAGATCTGAGGGTCATTGCCACTGCGCCCTTCACCCTGAGACATAAGTTGACAAGTCATATGTGCCCGTAATTTCACTAGCACCCTTACCTTTCAAACACGTTAATCGCATCTGCCATCCTTATCATAAGTAATGTAATGGCATTTTTAACGATATTGAGTTATTGACATGTCTGGGATCAGCGAAGCAAGATTTGCAAACCTCATCTAATCGATTTTTTATTATCTAAATTAGTTTCAGTTTTATTGTTAAGTGAAATCAGTGTAATTGAAATTTTTTACCGTGACCGTTAGGTGCCAATACATCGAAAGTTCCGAAATGCGAATGTGTTATTTATGACAAGCAGGGCAGTCTTCCTTCAACGAACTCTTTCACAAGGAGCTCTACTGTTACTTAAAATTTTGAGATAAACTACAATCATCAGCGTCTTACTTCTATTACCACCTCAACTAAGATCCTCCACTTGATTGATTAGGACTTTCATCACAATCTTGAGCCCCAGTTAAGTGTTAAGCTCTGAAATGACGCGTTTGCAATGAGTCATCGTAGATGTGCTCAAGTAATATTTATTAATAAAATCTGTTGACATTAGTCATAATGTCGATCCTTGACTCGAGATGGATAGCCATACATCAATACGTAACTTTCCAATAATAATTACGTTGTGTATTTTGGGTTCCAGTTGGACTAGAACGACAGGGCGCGACTTTCGTGACAGCGACGTAGAAACGCGAGATATTGTTATTCTATACTAGTTGTGTTAACCCTCTGAGGGGCACTGCCACTGCGCCCGTCACCCTCAGACATAATTTGACAAGTTCCATGTACCTGTAATTTCACCAGCACCCTCGCCTTTTAAAACGGAGCGCAGTAATGCTCCCATTACTTATTGGCGGCAGAAATAGGTAAGGTAGCAGCATTGGCGACAAGAGACCTAAAGGTTTGTCATTAAGGTTTATTTCTGAATGTGCTAAACTTTATTGGCTGGTCAAACTAGGGAATGTATATATATTCGCTGTACTATGAATACCAGAACAATTGAATTAACTCAGAGAACACTCACCAGAACACCCAAGCCAGAATCAATTAAGAAAAGTTCATCTTCTAAATTATTACTACCTGGAATCGAACCGGGATGCAGGTCGTCAAATCAAGAGTTTATCAACATTCGGTATTTTTCCTTGACTAGCATTCAATATCACTAATAACTGTTTTTATCACTATTATCAAATGAAATAAAAGTTATCAAATGGTTTCCGAGATAAGATATCAAGTGACATGCAAAGAATACAACAAAAAGAAATGTTAAGCAACGATAATTGGTGTACATGTATCTAATCGATATGGGATACGGCCGCGCGGGGTGAGCGCGATGAGACTCGTGTCGAGTAAATGCGCCCTGATAGTTATTGTACCAAATGGTTATAAACTGCTTATCAAGTGTTAATGGGTCTATCAATAATATAATAATAATAACGCACACACTCAACATAGCTCCGCACTAGGGAAACTCTGCATCGCGGGTGCTATATGTACATATAGACAACCACAAATGACCCTACAAATATTATATTATATATACAAATATAGGCCCTACAAATATGTCTCCCGTTGCAGTACGGCATGGTAACCGTTCGGCCACGGAGGCAGTTTAAATAAATACATATCGTCTGCTCAAAGATAAAACCACATAAGTGACATTTCCACAAAAAATTTCCAAGTTATGTACTACTTGTAAGAAATTCACCATCTTTCTGTAGATAAAATTCTTATTAAGTTTATAGCTTTTTTGTTATGGAGTTCCAAGTGCAGAAACATAGTGATTTTCTTACCATAGCTATATAAATTAAAAGACTTTTTGTGGAAAATATCACTTTTGTGGTTTTACCTTTCAACAGTCGATATATGGTTATAATCCTCACCATAACAATCATATTTCGCATAGAAAACAAGTAAAAGTAATTTTTGTTTTAAATCTAGAATTGAAGCAGCTCTTCGTGCACTGGTAGGATTCTCCCAAAAGTCGAGGTTTGTGGAGAACTGTAAATATCCTAATTACTTTGGAAAGGAACATGGAACAAGGACTCAAGTGCGATGAGACCATTTAAATGTCTAATGATCGCTGTAGATAGCAAAACCGAAGCCAGGATGGTTTTCACTGAGATTCCATACATGTATCTAAGCTTTTTAGTAGCAGTAGAGAGAGCTCCTCGTCTAGGGAAGTACTGCCACCTAACCTATTTCTGCCGCCATGCGGTAATGTGAGCATTACGGTGTTCTAGTTTTGAAGGGTAAGAAATTACTGGCACATGGAACTTTTCAACTTATGTCTCAGAGTGATGGGCGCAGAGGCAGTGCACCTCAGATCTCTGCGACTTAAATCTGAATCGCAGTGCAACTGTTATGGACAGGCTTGTTGAAAAAATATCTAATTACCTTAATTCTTAACTGTAATACCGTGTAAATATATTCACAATAAATAAATAAAATGTGAAAATAGACAGAACTTCAACCATGTCTACAGTCCACCGGAAAAGCCGGAATGCCCCGATCCTTATGTCGTTGATATATCTCTATTGCTATGGTGCACGAAAGGGACCTCCACCCCACGACGTACCATTCTTTTCCTACACGCCTGGCGCGTTCTGGGCGACAATCGGCAAATTTCTTGGCAAGTATTACAGATTATGCCATCGATACGATAAGACCTCGTGCAAGAAGCGCTTTGCTTCCTCCTTGCTATTGTATACGACAAATGGATTATACCATTCCACAGCCGACATCTGTGTGTCCCGAAAACTAAAGAACAATGGCCATATTGGACTCGCAAATTTTTTAAACGCGACTGGTTGAAAATTTATATCCATATAAATATACGTTATAAAATAATATAAATTTCATTCATAAAACTTTGAAATAAATTGTAGAAAAAAAATACGAATTTCTAAAAATACCTAAGAGACATTGTAAATGTTCGTTTTTGACCATAACATGACTTACATATTGACATTATATTTTATGACTCGATTACACTTGCCTTGACATCTTCAACGTTTCACGCGTTCAATTTTTTTTAAAGTACCTAATTTAAAAAAATAGTATCTTGTATGCACCATTCTTACCTAATTAATCTAAAATTACGACAGATTTTTATTTAATTGTAGTATATCCATTTTGTACATTAAAGAATTTTTGTATTGTATTGTATTTCACAATAATTATATGCAGTAAAATGACCCGGTTGTTCAAAAAATATACTTTTTGAAAGTTTGTTTACCCGCCATTTAGTAATTTGATTGCGAACTGCTGAAAAAAACGCTCATTGAACTGAAAACATTGCAACTCACTTGTTGATATATTCCTTGAGCGAAGCATGAGGATCCTGTGGCGTTGTCTTGCTGGTGGGGCTGGAGAAGGAAATCAAATCACTGCTGACGTCACGGGTAGGACTTGCGCCAGTCGACCTTTAAACAACCAAATGTATGTTTACTATAGTCTGTCTTTTTTGAAGACGGAGTAAATGATTAATTGAGTAAAAGTGTTGCCCGCTAGCGAGCAGCTAGTGATTGCAGTCGAGGGTTGCTGTTAAGGAATAAATAGCCGAATTTGTTTCATTTGAATCATCCTCATTGTCATTGTCAGTTTTTGTAAGTTTATATACATAATTATAATGTATTTAGAACTGTTTATGAAAAATACGAAGAGGAGACATATTTTAAAGATCTGTAAATATAAGAATAAAGAAGGCAATAACGCAATTAGTAATGATTAAAACGTAACGTTCACAATTTAGTCATTTTTGGCAAAATTTTATCTTCTTTCACAATCTATCGACAAGAACCACATAACTATTTAAAATTTGAAGAAAACTGGCAACTCTACAAATGTCATTTTACTCCGTTTTCAAAAAAGACAGGCTATAGCATGTCGCAGGTGGGGTTAAGTGCAACCTTTCTAATTGCTTATTGCTAGATGTTACGGATATTAAATAAATATGTAAATATACACAAAAATACATGTCATTATTTACGTGTAGCTTTCAAAGGAGTTGAAGAACGTCAACGGGGTCACGGTCCACGGAAATGAGAAAAAGGTTACTGTATGGTCTCACCATACATACTTAAGTACAAATCTGCGCACGCGGCAACCAACTTAGGCCGCGCGCAGCTCTTTGTTTTATATAACTAATTAATCTTTAATTTTAACTCAGTACGTCACCAACTGTCCACAGAGACACTACTTAAGGAAAGATTTGCCACCTAACACTTGTAACTTATTACGAAAATATACTTTGAACTTTCAAGCAATCTTTCTCTTCGTGCTACTCTACTACTACAACTAACTTACAACTACAGTGCATGTATGGACTACACCTGGCCCATACAGTTACTAACAAGGATTAAGGTACTCCATACAAAATTGACCCTCGTCTTTGTTTACACAATATTTAAGTTGTTACATTATAACAGAATAGCGTGTGTTATGAGTACTTTACAAAGTGCCTAGAGTATTGCTAATATGTACTGTCACTGAAAAATTGAAAAAACTGTCATATTATTGCATATAATTCTTTAAATTAAATATCTCACAAATGCCAGCGTTGTATTTAGGTAGGAAAAACAAAACCAATCTGCTAAGGTACTTTGGTAATTTGCCAAAGTACAGGTCTTTTTTCCACCACAATTTCCACCGATGTTTACTTGTTGGAGCCGTGAGTATCAAATTGTTTTAAAATCTTTGATACATTAAATTCTCGTTTTTATTTATCAGATTATGTTAATACTCAACAAGATTATATTTATACACAAAGACAAATTAAGAACCTCCTCCTTTTTTTGAAGTCAGTTAAAAACTATAAAGTCATAAAAAAGTCGAGTTTTATATGTAATTCTTTATCAAGTACCAGTTCTGGATATTATGTAAACTAGTGACAGAAATGACACATTAGGTTATTTTTACTGTCCGATTTATGACAAGAGGATACAAATTAAATTTAATTTCTGTACTAATGTACGTTTGTCGAAATGAAACCATATTAACGCGCTCCCTCACCTCACCTGTAACGCAACAATCCAAGATTCGATTTTGAGCATTACATTACAATAGTGCGTCATTGACCGACGAGCATTCGCCCGTGATGTAACTTTTCAAGATTCGACTTTGTGCTGGTGAAATTACAGGCATATGAAACTTGTCAACTTATGTCTCAAGGTGACTGGCGCAGTGGCTGTGCCCCACAGATTTTTGCGATTTAAAGCTCTGAGTGGCACTGCAACTGTTATGGATAGGCGTGTCGCTTACCAAACAGTTGTTCTTTCAGGACATGTTGAATGTTTATCGTAAAGTCACGATTAGGTTCGGTTAGGTTAAGTTAGGTTTAAAAGAAAAAAAATTTTCCTCTCAAAATTACTTTCGAGGTTATGAATTTTCGACCAAACGTTATTCTGGCAAATGTCATTTCGGACTACTGGCAGGTAACCCATTTTTAAATATGACCCCGAAAGCAAAAAACGATACCACGTACAGGTGCGTTCACGTCGCTGCCACTGAGCCTGCGTCGCGAGATGCATACGGTCGCCACAAGTGGTGCGCATTGACGTTACAAATTGTATCATTACAGGTTGCATACTGTAACGCTCGAATTTGAAGTGTTACGTTACAGGCAAATGCTCTTGGTGAGGGAGCGCACTTAGATTCACCATGCAAACTGAGGTTGGTATTGCTGTTCGTGGTATTCAAATACGTCATGACAAATTTCGTTTAAAAAACCATGATCCGTAATTGCATTTGTGAAGTATAATGGCAACACCTATTGCATGACATTGACAAAAGTAAATAACTACCTGGAGGCGTCGTTGGCGGCTGGGCGTCCACGTGATGGCCTCCGCGGGGGTGGTGGCAGCGCAGGCGGCGGCCCGTCTTTCTCTTCGCGCTGACGCGTACTAACGCCTGCGCCATTATCTATCGATACCAAGATAACCAACGATATACACACATCCAATGAATATCTTTTGTTACACGAACAAATACAATAACCCATTACCTAATATACAATTCAGGCAATAAAGTGTCATCTGAATATCACAGTTTGGTCGTTGTTGATAAACACTGATTACTATTTTGTATGTCATTACTATACGACCAATTTTTATAGCACCTGATTATACGTTGATGGTAGCTGGGGAGATACATTTCGCATGCACCAAGTTAATTTTATCTGTTGATAAACTAACAAGAATCAAGCCAATCAATAATTATTTGATATATGCTACTAATTATTATAAGCATTTGAGAATTATACGTGTATAAATTAACAAAGTGACATTGAAATTAGTTGAGTAATAGTTTATTTTTGATTATGATAAAGCATTGCCTTGTTATTGTTTGTTGCCAACATCGCTTAAATATCACACTATGTCACCCTCATTGTTTGTACTGTTATGGCACACAAACATGTAACCAAAGCATAAACATTCTTTACTAATTCATTGACACTGTTCAAAATGTATAACAATGATAACATTTTTAGTAGATCGGATTTATTTTATTTATTCATTATTGCTGCAATTTGTGTAAAATTGATCTTAATAACTTTAACAGTGATAGTACATAGACCCTGTTCGGGCATTGCAATTTAACATTTGAATTTATAATAATTTGTATTACTAACAAGACATTAAGTAATACATGATTTAAAAATTAAAATAAATAGATACGAACAATTCGACATTAATTCTAGGTCATTATACTTAATTAGGAATTTTATTTTCATTTACATGGATTACATCGTAAAATACTCATTTATAATTTAAATAGATGTCTTTATCACCAAAAAATTCATTGACTGAGTAATAACATTTCAATTAGGAATTTTTTTCAGTTTAATAAAGAAAAATGTATCTTTTTGTTTATCTTTAATGCGCAGAGGTATTTGATTATATATTTTAACTGCTCTATTAGAAGGGGCTATTCCTAAATAATTCGAATCTTGGTTTCGGAAGTACCAATACGTTGTAGCGGCGAGAACTAGGTCGGAATTTAAAATCGGCTAAATTACGTCTCACAAACTTTACAACATCGAATATATACATACGTACAAGCAGGAAACGGTCAAAATTTGTTCTTTTTGAAAGATGGTTTGCAACTGTTTCTTTGGCCTATATTAACCAGAATACGCAGACACTTCTTTTGCAAGATAAATACATCATTTGCCTTCGTGCTGCGGCTCCACAGCATAACACCGTACCGCAATCATGGGTGTGCGTATACGTAGTAGGCGGTCAGCGCTGCTTTAAAGTTTTAATTAGATTTTAGAACAGCTAGTGCATATGTGAATTGCGATAGCTTTAAGTTTTTCAACGTAATATTTCCAGTTAAAGTGCGAGTCTATCGTTAGTCCTAATAGGTGAATTTTATTAACTTCTTGAAGATTTAACAGAGTTGTCACTAATTTTAGGTCAAAGGTTTCAAGTTATAAGATCAGGGCCCTGATTTTAATTCAAATCGGAATTGATACGATCGGGTAGCCCATCCGCAATATTATATGCCTCGACGACGCAACTTCCGATCGGGAGAAGCAATAAAAAACCAAGCTGTTCGTCCCCTTATCCATTTACTAACTTCACTTCTCGGGCGATTCCACAACAGTTATGGCACTAAATAAAGAAGAAACTAACCTCGATTCAGAGTTAGAAAGTAATCCAAATCCCACATAATTAAAATATTATATCACTTTTAGCAAACAAACAAGGGACAGAGTTAACAATATCATATCACTTTAAATACTGCTTATAGCATTCGTTGTAATATAATTATTCGGTATATAAATAGAGGAAACAACGAATGAAATACGATTTTATTTGCAAGCAAAACCATAAATGATAAGTGATTCGCGGTTAATCAATGACCCAAACACTCAGTGGGGTTGATGACCACGGCTTCCTCTCAAATTGATATTGTCAATGCAAACAATTTGTTAAATTACAGCGTCATTACGGCCATTGCCGGGTTTTCACTGTGATTTGAAAAAGTTATTATCAATTTGAAGCATCGTCGAGAGTGTCTCGTTGCAAAGTAAAAGCATTTTTTAAATTATGGCTCTATGTTGATGACAGTGATGAGAGAGTTTAGGATTTTCTGCAAGGATCACTTTTGTATGCCTATTAAAGGGTTTTGGCTTAGGAAATGTAGAGGCATCTCATCCATTTCTCGGGAGGCATTATTGCATCGTTGGCCCCTTAGTATGAGCTTTTTTTTTATAATATGAAGTAACGGGACACACAAGTCGTGCGCCTGATCGTAAGCTACACGCTTGTCCAAACATTTACAGTGTCACTCAGAGCTTTAAATCCCAATGATCTGAGGTGCACTGCCTCTGCGCCCATCACCCTGAGACATAAGTTGAAAAGTCCCATGTGCCAGTAATTTCTTACCCTTCAAAACCGGAACGCGATTACGTTCACATTACTGCTTGGCGGCAGAAATAGGTAAGGTGGCAATATTTCCCTGGACAAACTCTTCCACAAGGAGCTCTCTCTACTGCTACTAAAAAGCTTAAAAGCTTAGATATCTGCAGCCTCATTAGATTCGACATTGAAATAGTCTGAAACTCATCGCATTTTGTTCCTTTCCAAAGTAATTAGGATATTTACAGTTCTCCACAAACGACGATAAGTGTTTATTTAAATTGCCTCTGTTACCATGCCGGACTGCTACGGGAGAAATATTTGTATGGCCTACATTTATTTCTCTCGTGAGTTTGGATGTCAGTTGTGGTTGTATATATGTACATGTAGCACCCGCGACACAGGGTTACCCTAGTGCGAAGCTATGTTGAGTGTGTGCGTTATTATTATTACTATTATTATTGTTATATTATTGACCCATTAACACTTGATAAGCAGTTTATAACCGTTTGGTACAATAACTATCAGGGCGCATTTATTTTTTTTATTTTTTTTTATTTATTCAATTTCAAAAACATTAACTATTTTATTACATTAACGCTAGGTAAAAACTTAATGGTTTAACCACCTAGCGATGAGCTAACAAGCTCGGTACTTAAATTAGCTTACTACTTACTAAAATACAAATAATATATTACGATTAAGAGAGCTAAATACAAATAAAATGAAAAATTACATTACGACCTAAGATAGTACTTCTTTAAAATAGCTAATTCGACACGGATTTCATCGCGCTCAAGCCGCGCGGCCACCGCCGCGTTACCGCCGCGCAGCAACCGCGTGCTTCTAACTGTCATGGCAAAATACGCTCTAATTGTTTAGCTTTTACGTTTTAACTTAAATGAGCAACCTGGGCACTCGGGCGAGACTGACTTGAATTTAGTCTACGCGGCGGCCCGCGCGGTTGTATTATTCAGAGGAATTTAAATGTTGTTGCCTAGTAAAGAGAATTCAGATCGGCCATTCATATACATGAAGGCGTGGTAACTGCCGCCGCCGCGGCGGACGCGTGTAAACTTTCGCCTCCTGTAACTGGGCGCTTATGTTTATCATTAACCCATTTATACGTCCCACAGCTAGGAACGGGTCTCCTCTCAGGCGAGGGTTTATATATACCATAGTCCACCACGTTGGTCCAACGTGGGTTGGGAAAATCACACATTTTCTGAGGGTTGTAAACCTTCTTCGACGTACAGGATTCATCACGAAGTTCATGTAAATTTATATTAAATTCCAACAAACTCCAGAGGTGCGAGCCCGAATTCGAGCCCGCGGCCTCTGCTTGCGAGGTGGTAGATCAAACTATATGACTACGACGTCTTATTTTTATAGTCCCATAAATATGAACATAAGCAATATGGCTATTATTATTTGGTATTAAGGTTCATTACTATACAACAAGACCGTTATGTGTACAGATCTATTAAGGTCACAGCAAGTCCATATTGGCTTAATTTGTTCCAAGAAATCAACCTGATTAAAGTGATGGTGAATGTTTTTTAATACATTTCGTATATAGACCTTAAATAATAATAAATAAATAAATAAATAAATAAATAAATAAATAACGCACACACTCAACATAGCCCCGCACTAGGGAAACCCTGTGTCGCGGGTGCCATGGACACACATATAGACTACCACAAATTACACCCAAACTCACGAGAGAAATAAATGTAGGCCATACAAACATTTCTCCCGGCCCGGGAATCGAACCTGGGACCTCTGCGTGGCAGTCCGGCATGGTAACCGTTCGGTCACGGAGGCAGTTAAATGTACATAATTTGTTTCCTGTGTTCACATATGAACTCATGTGTGAAAGTTTACAGCATATTTAAACTACACCGCAAAAGCCTAGCCTAGCCTAGGTGTTAGCTTTTAGATTTCGCGCTGTCCACCTTCCCTTTAATAAGTTTTATCATCTAATAAAAAGAGTGGTCTCCGTTGTGTGTCAATTTTGTAACAAACTCGAAGGTATGCTACATTTGACGGAATGTGGCATATTATGCGACTATAAGAAGCCAATTTCTATTAGGGAATATTTGGCAGGTCGGGGAGCTAAATGTTATGTTGGGTGACCCCAGTGGCGGATTTGCCCCAAGGCCCAGTAGGCCCGGGCCTAAGGCGGCCAGATTTTAGGGGCGCCCAATCGTGACAAAAAATTCATTAACTCAAAGTACCTAAATATTTTAAAGGCTGACGCACATAATGGCGGACCGCACTGCAACGGATAACAATGATCTTCCTAAATCACTTTCGTACTTTTTGTGTATATTTATTTAAAGATACACCATCAACTTAACACAAAACAGTCTTAGAAATAAATATACAAGGTGCCAAGTCCCTACAGGTGTATACAGCACTAAACATTTAGAGTAAGTCAATGAGATACAAAAAATAATCTAAAATAATAATAACAATAATAAAAAAAAACAATTAAAAATGTAAAATTACAGCAATAATTTGATTTAAGTTAGAAACAATTGCTTGCACATGCGAATAAGTTGTTTAGTGTTCCCTACATAAAAGATGTCTATGTCACTGTTGCTGGTCACAGTCAAGTCATTATATGACTGCATGAGTCTGTTCAAGGTGGCATACCTTCCGAGATTAGTTCGGCCACTAGATAAAACAAATGATTTGGCGATGGGGAAGCTAGGCACTCTACGAGGAGCGTTTAACTTGATGAGGGCCTCACCAGTGCCTCATCAACTTATACAGTATAAACTATAGATATGTTACATATCTATAATGTAATGTATAATCACTACATCACTACGTCTGTCTGATCGCGATAAACTCAAAAACTACTGAACGGATGGCATCACTGCAAATCCACCACTGGGTGACCCGTTGACGAAAAGGGCTAAAATTCTGTGCTCCTATGTGAGGTCTTGCCTCTCACCACGAGGCGACACGATAGAGTAAAATAATCCACAGGGATTGACGTCACAAGGCCGATATTGACACCCAACACTTACTAAAAAGACACTTAAAAAATATTTCAGCTAGTGATTACTCATGTAAATGATAGGAAACAACTTTAGCCAACAAATAATTTCATATTTACAACAACTACTTTAGACCTTATAACAGTGTTTTTAGCAATAGAGCTCATTATGAAAGAGTCCAGTCCAGGGAAGTACTGCCACTTTATCTGTTTCTGCCGCCAAGCGAGCGTTACCGCGTTCCGGTTTCGAAGGGAGGGGTACTGGCGAAATTACAGGCACATGGGACTTGTCAACTTATGTCTTAGGGTGTCGGGTGCACAACTCGTTCGTCCTGTCATTTAGTGTAATAATAAAATATATATTTCTTACAAATGGTAATATAATATTTGTAAGGAATCTAATTATTTTAATGGTAATATTTTTTATTAATACTACATATTTATTGTTATGTATATAATTATTAATTATTCAGCTTATTATTCTAAGAATCCAGGATTATTGGTTTTACAAGCGGGTCATGCTACCCAAGATACTCATCTTCAACCAATGATCATGCCAGCACATTTGGAATAGCTAGTTAGGCATATATAAGGGCTGTTAGAGAAGCAGTATTATCAGTGGCAGATTTGCCAGCCAGATTTTAGGGGCGGCCAGTCATGACAAAAGTTCAATGATAACAAGAAATAACTCAAAGTGCCTAAATATTTTAAAGGCTCATGCACATTATGGCGGGTTGCACTGCACCGCATCTTGTAACAATAATCTTCCTAAATCACTTTACAATACAGATACGTTACATATCTATGGCCTGGGGCCTAGGGCAGCCAAGACTGCAAATACACCACTGAGTATCATTAATCAGAACAGACTGACAGTAGTGCAGTTAGGGGAAGTTACAATTTGTGCACCAGAGTTTCTTTGAGAAGTAAGTGTAAAGAAATTAACATTCTTACACAAGTGTCATAGTACATTTGTGAAAATGTAATTTATGTCAAGAATAGCAATTTTTTTCAAGAAACATAGTGACAGATATAACATTAATACCTTCACAAAGTCACAAATTCATTTAGGGGGCAATGGAGACACTTCTATAACAGAGGTTTAAAACATCTTTTTCCAGATTCTATCCCTCATCCTACAAATTTTTATAGTATTCTTTCTCCCTTTAAACCTCCTCTACTATTTATTCTATTTAAACATATTGCATAAAATAACATATGTCTATAACATTTATTATGTACCCAGCAAGTTTTAATGTTTTGCTTACAAAGTAGTTAGTCTAATAAACTCGTGTTTTGTCTATATGGTCTATATGGCCATAGGATGATACAACCGATCATCGTCGCTTGACCGCACTCCTAGCAATCTTGACATAAACCGTGTATCTTACGATCGACAGAAGCCAAAATAGCCAAAAAAAAATAGTAAACTTTCAACCAAAGGTTATACAGCTTCTGCATATGTGCAAAGAGCAACCCTAGAGTTTCTTGCTCATTCTTCTCAGGGGAATCTGCCTTACGAATAAGCAGTACAGTTTAATCAATATGACAATGCCAAGTGTAATTTCTTTATCTATGAAATAAAGACCATCTGAGTTTGACTGAATGGAACTACACAATAATTCAGATTCAAAAGTATGAATAGCAACAGGATACAATGCCAATTCACAAACACGCCGAGATTCATAGGAACAATAATTAGGTATCTAATTATTGTGGAATTTCAACAGCAGACCTTGGTGGGATCATCATATCTGACGTTAGGTAAACAAAGTTACGTCAATTACCTGAATTTGCTATCTTCTGCCTGCGGAACTGCTCCAGAGCAAGGCTTTCCAAACTGAGAGCCTGAGCCTTCTCCAAGTCCGCTTGAAACTGCAGATCGTAGTCCGACATTATCAGTCATTTCTCGCTAATCATCTGCAAGTCAGAAAATGAGCGTGGGAAATAATAACTACGATACAAAAACTTCGGCAAACAGAACGTCAAAGTAAAAACAAGACAAAATAACCGCTACAGTAACAAATCTTACCCAACGGTATGTTAATATAATGCTTCAATTACCAAATTTTCACGACATTATACGATATTTGTTACAAAAGTCAATTGCACATGATTTTTATTAATTTACAGCTAAATTTACTGCTTCACTCTAATAGCAAATGGCATTTCTTTCTTTCATTCATGTTCGAATCAGTGTTACCAAACCAAAGTATAAAAATTTGGTAAAAATGTACTCAAATTATTGGGAGAAATATGAAAGCTTTGAGAGTTGTTTATACAAAACTAAACATGCTCTTTAAAACAAAAATGTATTTTCTTAATTAGATTAAAAAGAAAATATGTTTCATTAGATAATTAATTATTTTCTAAAGTTATTCAATATGTCAAAAATTATTTACGTCATTCGCGAAGAGTTGGACCTTAAAAGCGTTTTCACACTACGTTCGAAACGTATCAGGGGGGCTATTCTCGATCTACGTCTGACATTCGCCCGAAACAATTACTGTCAAATAAGTAATATTCGACAAAATTAAAAGACAAGTATCCAGTATGAAACTTCATTCGCATCACGCGTCTTTTCATTTGGTCAAGTATTGCTTATTTGGCAGTAATTGTTTCGGACGGATGTCGGATGGAGATCGAGAGTAGACCCCCAGCACCGACTCCGAAAAATGACGGTCCGAAATATCACATATATCTTTTTACCTCTAGTTGTACAGGCGATATTCGTATTTTCTCGGATTCGAATCGGCTTTAGTGCACAAGCGACATCCGAATTGAACTTCCTAATTCAAAATGGGTTCCATTATTGAATTCCAAGTCAAATACACAAGCTGAACCAGAGCTCTGTCTCTGGTTCAAGGTCACGCGATAAGTTCCAAAGGGTGCCTACCGCTGTGTGCGCCGACGTCGGCGCAAGTGCACATTCGAATGGTCGTACGGCATGTTTCGTAAGAAAAATCGCGTAATTAATGTTCAGGGTGTAAAAATAGGAAACCGAACAATAAAGTATAATTTTTCCATTACCGAAAGATGAAGAAAATTATGATAAGTGCTTAATCTTGAGTTTTGACTACAATATCTTTCGATTCTTTGTGCCATCAATTCCTAATAATTTAAGTTGGTAGATACTGATAAACAAATTATGAGATTTTTTAAAATCATTATTTTAACTTAATTATTATTAACCGACTCCAAAATAGGAAGAGGTGCTCTATTCGACTGTAAGTTCTTTTGTACGTATGTTATTTAGTAACTCCGACATCTGTGAACTAATTTTGTTGATTCTTTTTGTTGGAAAGAGATCCTCAGTAGTGGTCCTATTTAAATTTCAAGAAAATATATGGCACAGCTAAGGGTGACAAACTAGGGGATGAATGACTTTTGGGGTCGGTTTTTTAGTACTCTGTACTGAGATTACATGTAAGCGAGATTCAAGCTAACGTCTTTTGAATAATTTCTTTCTGTGTTCTATCATTCTACTTTGTTTTCAACCTAGGTAAGAACTTTTATTAATAAATTTTTATAGTGCCGTGGTACAGGGTCAAGAGCACGCCAAGCTTTACACTTAAGAATTAAATCCAACTCTATGCCATTTACGATAAGAACGGTCCAAAGTTCAAAGTGTCAAGCTTAACGTGATATTGACTGTACGTAAATTAGACTAATCTAATATCTAACCATCAAGAATACTAATACAATCATAAAATAATTTTATATATTTAATAAAGAATACAACTTATAGGGCCACACTACCACGCCAATTACCTGGTCTCAAACTAGAGAATTCCCTGTACTAAAGTAAATAAATTCATGTGGGGGCACTACCCGAAACACCCAGACCAGAGCAAATTTAGTAAAGTTCATTTCGAAAATTAGTCCAACCGGAAATCGAAACGTCGATCTCCAATTGAGAGGCAACCGTTCTCCCAACGCTTTACTAAATAAATAATTGTAATTTCAAAGTCTCAAGCAAGTCTTTCGTTTACATTACAATCCTTAGACAACCCTTGCGCATTCGGTTCCGCACGACTACACACAGCGGGCAACCTTGTTTTCACTTCTATGAGCGCGTGCTTAGGTTCCTTTTTCCTCGTAGTGAGCTTGGTGTCATTAGTGAGATTTAGTAAGCTATTATAGCGTAGGTATTTAGGTCAGTGCCCTCCATACTATTACGAACTTTATGAATCAAATTGTTAAACTTAGATTTCAAATTTAAAACTAACATTGGCCTAACTGTTATACGTGAAACGCGTTGGTACGTAAACTCGTATGTACCCCCGTACCATACAGCAAGATGGAGGTCATATTGAACAAATTGTATAAAAAACATTTTATTAAATTTGACCAACTTCTGCTGTCCCGATGTTTTTCTTTTAATACAATGAAATTATCCTTACAAGAAACTGAGTCGATCAGCATTCAAAAATCGTCAATGTTGTTCAACTCACGCTTGACTAAAAAATTGACTATACTAATGGTTCGTAAGACAGTTTGATTGTATCTCCTATGGTCTCGGATCTCCTCATACTGTCCCAGTTTGAAAAAACACCTATAGGTAGACAAAGATCCATTCAAGTAACTCTTAAGTCAACAGCGGAGTTTTTGTGGTAATGAGAACATTATATTTTCCATTCCATTATCCATACCTTTCATATTTGTACACGCTTGTTAATGGAGTTTTGTCTCTAATTAAGGCATTCATAAGACAAATATTATTTTTTTGCTTTAATACAATTACACACGTAACTTGATATAAATGCACCAATGCAACATGCAAAGTTGGTTTTTTCCATGCAACTAATTTTCCTTGCTTTAAGTTATTTTGCACGACATAACCGTCACTGGGTTTGCGGAGTAGCAAAGTAATTTTCTTCCATTTTTGTGAACCCTAATAATTTTACATCGCTGTGAAAAATAATAGTAAGTATTGTATTGGCATCAAACGTAACAAATCCGTAATAAAAACGTATATTTAATGATATCCAATTTTGTAGTGACGAAATTATAATTTCGAAGTAAATAATTATCTTCTGAATAAAATCCATTACAGTTATTTAGACTTCATCGTGTATTCCTTTAATTGCACTTTGATTACGGTAACAAAATGGATGTGATTTCATCTTGAATTAGTTTTCTCTGACAATAACTTCACATTTGGATCTTTGTAACAATGATAGACAGAATGGGTGCATTATGATGAAAGCAACAATGTTTGATATTCAGAATAATCGTTTTGTTGTTGTAAGTACTTCTTATGCTGGCCTCACCATGAACATCTCAAAAACTAAACTCATGATAGTTTAACGAAATCCTGACTCCAGATCCAACTATGTCAATGGATGGTAAATATCCCATGCGCGTCCGAAAATACAGGTATCTTCGTACTTGGGTTAATGAGGCAAGAGACTCAGACCAGGACATAAAAACCCTGATTGAATTTTTTTTAGAAATTGAAAAGTGAAATAAACGTTGTATGTATATAACTTCGAGTCAGCATCCTGCAGTGTTACATCTGGCCAATTGTTATGTACGACAGCGAGGCATGGACCATCAAACAAGAAACCAGACGGCGTCTCGATGCATTCAAGATGTACTTAGGGCTACCGCCGCATGCTTCGTTACAACTGGATGCAGAAAGACAAAAACGAGACAGTACTCCTGCGCATTAGCACCTCACGCCAGTTGATGCGGACCATCAAGAAGCGCATAACTTCATATCTCGGTCACGTGCTTCGACATGATAGATCGAGTGCTTCAAGTTATAGGTACTTATATAAATGTATGTATATACACCTCATTTTACTTATTTTATGCATGTGTAGTCAAGAGCTCATCAAACTTGATAAGTGGCACTTTGGGTGTTGAATTTAAATATAAATCCTAAGTGTCAAGCTTGACGTCCTCTTGATCCTGTATATTTTACCTCATAGAGACTTTTACTTTTTTTATTTCCTATTTATTTTAAATTATGTAATACAATTATGTTAACGTAACATTCGGAAGAACGAAATAGCGTAGCGCAGGGAAGTGCCGGTGGATGGAGGTGAGAGAAAAATCATTAAATTTCCCGTAAAATCGGGAGTTTGGGAATACTGTCGATTTTTTATTTTATTTAATAATTTTGGCTTGGATATAAGTCCTTTGAGCCATGTCTTCGTTTAATTATGTTTCTGTAAATGTGGCCGCCACAAGGAGGATAGGCAATTTGAGGCGGGCGGCGAGCTTGGATTGACTCGGGATTCCTTAGAACGGGCCGATTCGGGTATTTTAGTTCGAGATTCGTATAATTTCGCGTTTTAATCTTCGATGAAGGCAAAATAGCACTGTCCTATTCCACTTTAAACTAGATTTCACAAAATAATTGAATGTCAAAATAAAAACGACACTTTTCCCTCCAAAAGGCCCAGAGCGAATCCGTCGAATTTGTGTTGTTCAAGTATAATGTAGACCTGTGTCGGTCGATCATTTTTGATAACCCGGGTCGATCATGACCCACGCTTAATATACATAAATGCATCATTGATAAACCGCACTTAAAACACAAAAATCTTTTTATAGGAAAAGTAGCACCTACAAAACAAAAATACATCACAAAAACTTATGAGCATTCAAAATTACTAATTTATTATTCATTAATGGTTATCTATCAGTAGTCCGAAATGAGATTTTCCAGAAATAACGTTTGGTGGAAATTTTATAACCTCGAAAGTAATTTTGAGAGAAAAATGTTTTTTCTTTTAAACCTAACTTAACCTAACCTGACCGAACGTAATCGTATCTTTGCGATAAACATTCAAAATATCCTGAAACAACAACTGTTTCGTTATAATTCGGTGCAATGAAAATTGGAACAAACGTTATTTCAGACACAAAAATTTTCGACTTTGTGATAGGTTACCTACCTTCATTAATATACATAATATAAATTTACTGTGTAATGGACCCTACGTCATGCAGCAATTAGGACGAATGATTGATAGACTCATTGATCCGTTGTTCAGTGAACTCGTTGACCCGTTCACTCGTTGATCGATTGCTTGGCTTTTTGATTCGATCGAACGAATGCTCTATCGAACAAATGTTCGGCCCAAGCGAAGAGTGAGATGGCGAACCGTGTCGTGAGTGGGGACTTCACGTGAGAATGAACCAGACAACAATAATATTGTGAATTGTCGAATAATCTCTAAAATTATAGTGATAAAGTCGAATATTGCGCGCATGACCCTTGAAACTCTAAAACGATCGAGTTATTTAGAAGCTAGTTGCAGGGTCACAGGTGCTGTTCGAATTATTTTAATTCGATCGATCACGATCGACACACGTCTAATAAAGCGTCTAAAGCGCCATCTTTGACGTTAAATTTTGTGTGTCGGTTGCCATTTAAATAACCTATGATATGATACGGATGGTTAGATGTAAAAAAAATATTTTCCATAGTGATTCCAAAGCATTCAAGTTCCTTTATTTTTTTTCCATCCTCTATGCATTCATGTCATTGTGATGTGTCAACGTCGCAAACAAGTTGCAATCTATCAGGGTGGCCATACACGGCCTTTCTTTTTTTTTTAAGGAGGGGAAATCTTTATAGATACCCCTGAGCCCAGGGAGACTCAGGGGTTATGTGGGGACTCTCCCTCCAGATTCACCACGACGTCGCCTGGCCGCCCTAGCTTGCGCCAGGGCTCCCGTGCTAACAGAGGGGCAGGTCAGTTGTTCTCCGACCCGCCCCCCAGACGAGTGAGGCCGTGCAATGCAGGCTCCGGAGTCCTTGTCCAGAGCCCGCTGGCTGCACTAGGAGATCAGGCGAGCAGCAAACTGCCTTCGCCTTCTCCCCGTACGTCTGCGCCGAAGCGGGTGCGCGTCCGCCGCGTCCTCGCGCACCCGCCACGCAGCCTCCTTTTGCAACATAACCTCTCCGCAAAAGGAGGCCACCGCCTCCTAGGACTCCTCGCTACCGAGCATGGCGGCAACCACGCTCGGCAGCGAGAAGTCCTGCCCTATTGACCCCGTCAGGGTACGGCGCTGCTCATCCCACCAGCTGGACACCTCTAGGGTGTGCTGCGCGGTGTCATCCGCAGCGCCGCACTCGTTGGCCATACACGGCCTGCTCGAGCAGTTAGCTAATGATCGACATACACGGATCGCTCTTGCAGTCATAGTCAACAGCTTGAGGCTGCCATTGATAACTGCTGGAGTAGTTGATACGTACCAACTGCAGCAGTTGGCATCAATCAACTCACAATTCATTCAAACCAGTAGCAACATGGATTTTGAGAAAGAAGCACTACTACTGCTACTTTTGTTCAGACGACGAATTTTGTGGCGTAGAATTTGCTGCTGTGAAAATGCGCGCGTGATGTGGAATGAAGAGCGCGGGCGGAGGTAACTGCGCGAGAGCAGTCGACAGCTTGAGCAGTCAGTGTATGACTGGCGACTGCTTGCCTGCACGATGAACGCTGCAAACTTCCCGAAGCAGTCGCAACTGCTCGAGGGGTTTGGTATATGTGTATACATAGAAGACTGTAGTTTGCTATGTGATCGCAGCTTGAAGCAGTCGATACTAGCTATAACATCGCACGCAGCCTACAGATGTGCAAAATGTCTTTGAAAGAAATATTGTAACCGAAATTTCGGGAAAATAAAGAACTTTCGTGGTGTCATTACTGGTTAAATGATAAGCTTATTACACCACCCGAATTCAAGGGCCCTGCGTTAATAAGGGTGGGCGTGATCCTTATTAAGGACGCCGTTCTTACTAACTTATATAAGTCGCTAAAATTAGGGGCCCTATCTTTCTAACACATATTACACCTCCTTAACTTAGAATTAGGGTCTCTTAAAATAGAATAGTCTAATAAGTGTTTAGGTGACTGCTTAAATAATAATATAGTTTTAAAAAATAATTTCCATTTATTTTTCAGTAATTTACATGTAGGGTGCTTTTCGAGAAGGATTCGCAGTATTTGTCTTCTTCTTGAGTGTGCGCTTCTTTTTTATCTTTCTTTTCATAGTTGAAACTTCTTTAGGGTAATCTACCTTCTTGGACACTCTGATTTTATGTTTGAGTAACTTTTTCTTGGGCGCTTTTGGTTTGTTAATAATAGATTTAGATGATGCATTTGGTGACAATAAATTTCTCTCTGCTGACATGGTAACACGAGCTACGTTAACCATATCGTCAGCGTTTATATTACTAACAGCACTGTTAACATTTTTCAATTTTTTCTTTTGTTTATGTTTCAATTTTTTTCCACGCCATGCAGGTGTCGGGGCGCCCTTCGCATCATTAGCACCCTGAAAATAATTTTGGAATCTTTAAGTGAATTTTGGAATCTGTGAGTCAGGATCGTAGCAAGTTGCTGCTGCTGTAGTTTCTGCCTGCCCCAATGAGAATATTTCTTGAAATGTATGTATGCAGAGATGGTCAGGACATTTGTAAGTTGAGTTTTGTTCAAATGTCTGCTTATTATATTTCGCCTTTCTATTGAATCGATTCGCTGAAAATCGCATTGATATGAATTTATGCAAAAAACTCGTTATTGTATACACTTAAATCGAGTTTCATAAAAATCGATCGTAATGTGCAATGCCTAGTAAAAAAATGGAGTCAGGATTGCAAGGTGGGTATTGTGTAGAGTTTCCTCTTATTCGTATAAAAAATATTTTTTTTTATCGAAATTTGTAATAAGTATGGAATTATACGAAAAGCCGTATTTCCCGTTTTCGCCTACGATTTTGGGCAAAAATGGGTTAAAGCCACAAACATATATGTAGATACACGCCGCAAGTACATCAATTTGTATGAAAACAAAGCATGCCACATTCTTTGTACCCACTATGATGTCACAAGATCTATTTAGTTATGGGAAACCTCCTTCCGCTCTAAATCGATTGATTGAACGATTCAATTAATCGATTCTAAATAGAATAATTTTTGTTGAAGGATTTGTTGATTACAAGAAGTCGTAATATTAATATAGTAGAAAAATACTAGAATAAGATAGTTAAGTCCTTTATTTTAAAGAAATGTTGATTACTTAAAATAAAATTAAGACTTTAATTTATAATCGACTTCAAATATTAAAATTATTGTCCTTCCAATAAAATGAGCTTTTTATATAACATCTTTTTCTAATAGAAGATCTTATCGTTTAACTTAAATAATGAAAACGCACGTCAATATGTGAACTTGCGACTGCCTTAATTAGTTTTACTAGTTAAGTTAATATTTTTTATTGATCAAATTGATTAATGGCAAGACCAATGAAAATGTTACTGCTGACAAAATATGGTAAAATCTTATTAATCAGAAGAGGTTTACTTAATGAAGGCCTCGTGTAAAATTTTTATGATTTGTTTATTATTTCTCGGAAGGAGTTGACACTCTCAATGAGCTACGCATCGAGTATATAACCTGAAATAGAGACGAAATAAGGGCCGTACATTTCTGGTAACTCATCAGTGATACATCACTTATAAGTATCACCTCTCGTTTGCATTTGCACTAAAATATAGACAGCGCCAACAACTGCATGTGTGTACGTCTCCGTATATTCCAAAAATATTTTGTATTTATTGTAATACAGAAAATATCTCTAACAATAGCGTGCTGTTCCATTCGGTGGTGTGGGAAAAACAACAAAACATCTAATTACAAAACAAACGAAATCACGTTAAACATAAATATGTAATTTTTCTAAAATAAAATAATACGTCAATAATTTTATTGTTGAATATACTGCGAGCCGAAGAGCACAACCATCGAGTATATAGCCAGAAATAAAGACGAAATGTCATTTAATTTGTTAAAAAAAGAAAACTATTCTGCCACATCATTATGGTGACAACTGCGCTCCGATTGGCGATTCACTTCATATCGACCAGTTTTACTTGAGCTTTGCTATAATGGACGAAAATTTAAAAATTACATATTTATGTTTAACGTGATTTCGTTTGTTTTGTAATTAGATGTTTTGCTGTTTTTCCCACACCACCGAATGGAACAGCACCATATAATTAGATATATTATCTTTATTACAATAAATACATAATATTTTTGGTATATACTGAGATGTACACACAGGTCAGTTGTTGGCGTTGTACTATTTCACTTTTCTAATTTGTGATTTCAGCGCAAACGAGAGTTGATATTTAAAAGTGATTTAAGGCCAATTTACCTGATGAGTTGCCATCATGGATGGATGGCCCTTATTTCGTCTCTATTTTTGGTTATGTCGCACCCCTTATGGAAGAATGGCATAAGTGGAGTTACATCAAAAACGTTTATTGCTCCTGTACAAATAAAATGCAAGTTGAATTTACAATGGACTTTAAAATGTAATTTAAATTTAGACCTGCCGTTACAAGAGAATTTTTGAGAGAAGAGAGAGAAAAAATAGTGTTGCCTGACCAAAATAAAAATGGAACATTGCTATATTCTTAATCTATTAATTCTACTAAATTGTTCTATTACTATTTATTTATTTAAATTATATGTTTAAGTATTTCTTAAACAACTCCATTATATACAGATAAATATAACCCACATCCTCTCCACTTCTTGTAACTCTATCGACTAATATTGTAGATAGAGTTACATGAATTGGAGAGGGTGTGGGTTATATTTTGTTTTGCATCAATAGTGATAGTGTTTTGTTTTAGTGTTGAATTTTGTTAAAGAGTATCAGTCCTGTAGTACTGTGCACAGACTATAGCTATTGATAATGAGTTAGACAATCAGATAATATTGAGTGTTTTCCAATGTTATTTATCCATAGTTGGGGAATTAACGAAAAGCCCCTAGCAAAGTCGCTATTAGTTGCACAATACATTTCAGTTTACTTTGACCCAGCGTCCTTCCGTTTCCTATTTGTAATTACTATATTACTAAAAAGAAAAACAAATTAAGTAAAAGAAAAAAAATACAGTCAAGTGTTTCAAATTATTGATGTTATTTATGTATTTTTCCTTGCGGAAAGGTGAAGAACTTTAGATCATGCAGCCTAGTGAAGTACATAAATATCGTTGAGCCTAGTCTTTTTTATATTTTTGAAATTCCTATTGTAACTTTAGTAAGTGTTATAATCATATTTTAAACATACTCTGTTACTGGGTAATCAGAATACTCTGTTGCTTATTATATGCTTGGGAAACGAGACGGATGTGTGAAATATTGTATACTATTTCGCGATTATCAAACATCAAATGCACAAATTAATCAAAAACCACAACATTACTTACCCGATAAATGGGAATAATTTAAAACTTTACATTTATGTTCCCACAGTTAGTCAAATAGCGATATGTGAGCAACACACCGATGTAAATTAATGTTCAAAGAGGACCACATCTGCGTGCGCCGTCTTGAATGTTTGACAACCAACTAAATTATATCTAGCCTCTTCACCGCACATCAGTGAATCAATACTCAATACTCAATACTCAATATATTTATTGCATTCATATGGTAAACATGTCTTAAAGTTAAAATAATGCTACACATATGAGCCCTTTATTAGGGATAACAATAACAGCAGAGGTAGGCCGAGATTTCAATTATTAATTAAAATTGTTATTTATCAAATAATAATATAAAAAAAAAAATTCATATAATAATAAAGAAATACGTCATATTATGAGTAGAATTATGTCACTTGAAAGTTTGAATTTAATTAGATTACAGTAGTATAACTGTATATAATATAATTAACATTTATTTATTATTCAAATTTATTATAATATTATTATTTTTATTTGTCATCAAAGTATTCATTTAAATTGTAATAGCATTTATTAATTAGATGTAATTTTAATTTATTTAGAAACAGTGAATACTTTTCCTCGTTTTTAATAATGGGCGGGAGCTCATTGAATATCCTCACCGACATCGAGTGGGGACTTGAGCTGTATATGTGTAGCCGAGATCGTGGCAGAAGCAATCTATTGCGTGGTCTAAAAGTGTGTCGTTGAATCACTAATGGAATGCCGCATATACCTAGTACTCTAGTACATAGATATCGTTGTAAGCATTTGATTTTATTTATTTGTTAAACACTCAGATGAGTTATTGGTAGCAGTAAGCTTACACAAACTATTAAGTCTAGAACTTAGAATAATAACGCATAGAAACGTAGTCCGCACACGCTAAGTGAGGCAAATTGAAGCGCGCCCAATGGGCCTACACGAGCGGGCGGGCCTTCAGTGCTCAAGGTCAACTTGCACCGCGAACAGCTCAAGAATTTTAGCTAAAAATGACGAAATGTGCGGTAAATGAGTATAAAAATACGTCAGATAAACATTAAGTAGATACTAACATCACATTCCACAAGGAAGTAACGCGTTTCAACTTGTATTTTTATATAAATATTCACTAAAACCGAAAATTAATCTACTACTAAAACTAGCCTACATGAATTTGATTTTTGCCTCACTTGTGACAGTTCGTTTGATATGAAACTATCATTCTATGCGTTATTATTCCAAGGTCTAGAAGTAAATTTATATCGCTATGTTTTGTTGGTTGATTTTGAATTCGTCATTCCCTCACCGTTAAATTGTCTGACTACCCTCTTCTTTTTCTTAAGTAATTTAGTTTGGGGACCACTATATCTACAAAAACTGTTACATAAGTACTATGAAATTTACAAAAAATAAATATAAATTCTGTTTAATATTTTTCATAGACGTCGAAAGCACGAATGTCGTTATTTCATGTTAACTACCCATAATGATAATGTCTACATTGAAGAGTAACTACAAGTTTTCTTATTGAATGAGGTTACCAACCCCCAAATAGTAGTCCGCAGCGTCTTGTCGATCACAGAAATCAAGAATTCTTCTGCACACATGTCTCAAATTCTTTATGCGTTGCTTCTTTGATTGGCCAACGGGGCATCTGTCTATTTCATCCATTCTTAGCGTTCTATAATCACAAAACCGAAAATTATTAGTTTAACCACGGGCCAATTAATCGCTATGCGATACAACGGCGATGCAGGACAGCGTAGTCGAGTATTTAGTACCTGTATGTACACGAGATGTCGCTATGAGTACCAAATAGCTATTTATTATCAAAGCTCTCCCAATATCTAGTAATAACAAGCAAATCAACTAGATGGCGCTTATTGCACCTATTATTGTTTAAGATTAGCCACATCTACCCGTATTAAGAAGCGTTAATTTATAAATTACTTTGTAACACACAATGCCATCTATTGACACGCATATTCATTCGCAGTAGAGCTCCTTGTGAAAGAGTTCGTCCAGGTAAGTGTTGCCACCTTGCCTATTTCTGCCGCCAAACAGTAATGTCAGCAGTACTGTGTTCCGGTTTTGAAGGGTGCTGGTGAAATTACAGGCACATAAGACATGTCAACTCATGTCTCAGGGTGACGGGCGCAGTGGCAGCGCCCTCCGGTAGCTTGATATTGATAGCGTCTCCCAATCGGAAACCGCGTCTTCTCCGAGTCGAGGCGCATAATGCGATTCTCAACTGGCTGATCGGAAACTTTTGACATTTCAAATAGTTGATTTAACTCACAAATTAGAAAGATATAGTAGGAATCAGGTTCATCTTCTCGGTAACCCATCTGGGCCCTGATTTTAATTCAAAACGGAATCGATCCGATCGGGTGGCCCATCCGCATTATTATACGCCTCAACTCGGAAAAGATGCAGTTTCCGATCGGGAGAGGCAATTAAAATCAAGCTTCAGGACCATTGACAGGATCTTTGCGATTTAAAGCTCTGAGTGGCACTGCAACTGTTATGGGCAGGCGTGTAGTTTACCATCAGGCGCACGACTTGCCCGTCCCGTCACTTGATGTTATAAAAAAAATACAAGACAGCGCAGTCGGGTATTTAGTACCTATTGTTACACCAGATGTCGCGACGAGTACCAAAGAGCTATATAGTATCAAAGCTGCCTCTACATCTAGTAATAACGAGCAAATCAACTAGATGACGCTTATTGTACAAATTATTATGGATTGTGCCGGTTATCCTTTTATTTTGTTTAGGATTAGCTCCATCTACCCGTATTAAGAAGCATGAATTTCTAAATTAGTTTGTAACGCACAATGCCATCTATTGACACGCATATTTGTCAAAGTTCAGAAAATAATTTTAGCTTAAGAATCTTTTTCTTGGGGTGCAATTTCTTACTGGAGGTCGGTATTACATACAAGGGAAAAAACTGGCTTCTTATATTCCATATTAAAGAGGCATTAATTTATATCCACGGCCATTTACTTAATATGAACTACTTCCAAGCTGTTGATCAGCGCCATCTAGGTGCAAGACGGAATTTTGTCCTCTCATCACTTTTACATTTAAGCCGGTCAGAAAAAAAATTATGTCCATTCAATGATGTGGATTCTTCCGGTATAATAAGCAAAAAACAAAATAGAAGGTATTATGATCTATGTAGACCGCAGTCGGTTAGAACAGCTTTCGCGCAAAGATCTCTAGGCTGTACAAGGTATTAAATAAAAAAATTAAATATAATAACAATAAATTTGAATTGAAAAGTAAATAAATTTGTTACTTAAATTTTAAATACTTTAAATTACATTGATACTGCAAAATTAGTTACAGTAGAAACGTAAATGTGGGAAAATAAAAAATGAAACAAATAACATAGTACACACAAGTTAAGACCGATACATGCAATCCTGATCACAAAAAACACGTACACACAGCCACGCACGACTGTTTTAGGGAAATACATGTTCCCTTAGTTATTTTTATTTACATATATATCTATTAGAATTGGAGTGAATTTAAATGACATTGAGTTTGAGGTGGGGTACCTGAAAGGATAAGACACAGATTTCTGATTTAGTTTAAATTCCAGTCTCCTACAAATTTTGTCAGTTTAGAAAATAAGATATGTTCCTGTGCCAAAAATATTTACCAACATTTGTGGAAGAGAAATAAATTTATTATTATTATTAATCATCTTATGCAATCAAAAAGCCAAACTGTGTTACTAACGTTCGCGTCGTGAAGATTCGAAAATCAGAGAACTGTACTATATTGCAATCATTCTGTGGCTTCATCATTCTGTTCCACAAAATCATAATAATACATATTATGTCCCGGCAATGCGTTATGTTGCGCGATACATTTCAAAGGTTGATTACTCGAAATCCGGAATATGAAAAAGTTATCAATTAATATTTGGTTTTAGCCACTCCACGTTGTTGATCAGCACCATTTTTGTAAACATTTGTCTACTCATTTGGAACACCCTATTCGGACCATAATTTTTGTAACCGGATTTTAGCGAATATTTCAAATGCTATGTACCATACAGATAGGTATCTCAATGGTAATTCCCATCACCATCCTAGCCAGTTAGCTACCGTGGGCAAATCTTTGTTTCAGAGAGCACATGGTGTCTGCGACAGTAATCATCTGGCAGGGGAACTTCAACATATAAAGCAAGTCCTACATGCGAATAAGTTGAAGATTCCACGCCAATGCCACAGGCCCCGTGTGAAACCACCAACAGTCGAGCGAAGACCTGCCATCTTACCTTACGTGAGAGGTGTTACAGACAAGATCGTAAGAGTCCTCATGCGCGCATCTATCAAGACCTATTTCAAGCCCCTGAGGAAGATTTCTCAGTTCCTGAGACCCGTGAAATGTAACATCCCCTTACAGGATGCAGGAGTTTACAAGCTTGACTGTGAGTGCGGTCTCTCTTATATTGGACAAACAAAGCGAAGTATTTGTACCCGCGTCAAAGAACATATAGCTGATGTCAAACACCGTCGCGTAAACAAGTCTGCAGTCTGCGAGCATGTCATGGATAAACCTACACATTCAATGAAATTTGACAAACCGCAGGTCCTTGCAAAAGAAGTCCGTTATCTACACAGGATGCTGCGAGAGGCCATTGAAATTAAAAAACATCCTAATTTTTACAGGGAAGACGGTTTCTCCGTACCACCAGTTTGGGATCCAGTATTTCCTCTAATGAAAAATCCCAAACAGACATAAGACTGCAGTACTAATTAATATGTTTTAGTTTATACTAATTTCTATTAATAATTAATAATAAATTGAACTTAATAAAAATTCATTCGATAAAATAATTTGTAAAACTTAATGTAGCGTAAATTGGAATGTTTTCTTTGTATAATTAAAAATAAGATATTTAATTAATAACTATTGTAACTATAGTGAAAAAATAGGGTGGTTTGTATAAATATTAGACATAACTGGTTGAAGACTGTACCACCTCAGTCAACCGTGATCATGGGACCTGTAAAGGGCCCGAAACGTCGGTTTGTTTGAAAAAACAAATATACGCGATTTAAATCCGGAAAAATAGTTTCATTTCCTATGCTGTGTTTGTGCTAAAAAATGTAATAGTTTCTTTACACTGCATTATTACTACCTGCTCTAGTTTACATGGCGGTAATATTCGGAACAGGTTTTTTCTTCTATGACAGCAAGTGACGAGAATAACAAGTCATATCTGGTGGTAAGCGACACGCCTGTAAATAACACTTGCAGTGCCATTCAGAGCTTGAAATCACAAAGATTTGAGAGACTGAGACTGAGACATACCAAGATCTATAAGCCTTTATTTTCACCAGCACCTTTACCCTTCAAAACCGGAACACAATAATGCTTACATTACTGCTTGACGGCAGAAATATGTAAGGTGATGTGCGAGTGATGGCAGTATTACTAAGTAGAAAAACAATAACACATCTCGTTTTTGGTTTGTGTAATGCGAGTGATGGAGGTATCACATTTATTTTTAAAGTACAGTTTTAACGGCTTTGGCATAATGCCATACAGCCTATTCTTCATTTTCTTTTCTTCATTTTGGTTTCACTTTGTAAATTATGTTTCTGTAAATATGGCCGCCACAAAGAGGATAGGCAATTTGAGGCGGCGTGCTTGGATTGACTCGGGATTCCTTAAAACGGGCCGATACGGGTATCGGCCCGGGGATCTTCGATTAAGGCACAATAGCACTATCCTATTCCACTTTAAACCAGATTTCACAAAATAATTGAAAGTCAAAATAAAAACGACACTTTCCCCTCCAAAAGGTCCAGAGCGAATCGAGGTATCACATTGTAATGCAATATGATGGTAATAACACTACATCATGCTTATAACAACTCATTTTTAGTCTGTGTGATTCAAGTGACGGTAATAATAACGCTGTAATGCAATGTGTTGGTAATAACACATGATGTTGGTAATAACACGACGTGATCCTATTAACATAACTTATTTTTAGTCCGTTTGATGCAAGTGATGGTAATACTACACTGTAATGCAGTGACATGCTAATAGCAAATAGCGCCAGCGCTGGCCCATGTAGCGCCGGGATGCAATCAAAACCCTGCCCTGGCGCCCTTTAGTAGGCATGGGATAAGAACGGAATACACTTTCCCTGTGGTAAAAAATTCTGGTGAAATTGTTGTAATTATAAGTGATGTTGGGAAGCAATAGCCCGTTTATTTTTCTAGCGCCGCGGGGGACTTAGGCTCTTGGAGGTGTGGATGTCGCGCGTTTGGCACCCCTTAAGTCCCAGCGCCCGTGTGCGCCGCATACCCTGCTCCATAAGAAAACCCGCTACTGATAGCAAAGCATGACATGAAATTGTATATAGGCTTCTTGCTCAACAGCAACCTCAACTCACACTGGCGCAGAAGCGTCGCGTTGCGTCGTGTTTTTCAACTAAACCTCACAGCGCCCAAGTGACGGGGCGCTCGAAAGCTACCAAGCATCAACGCGCGAAGCCGCTCGATTCCATATTTGCAAAACACAAATTTGTACCTTAATAATGGGAGAATATAGATGATTATGCTATAGGCGAGAAACATGACGCGTCGCGACGCTTCGACTGTGCGCCAGTGTGAGTTGAGCCTACGGCATAATGCTTCATAACGCATCTCGTTTTTGGTCTGTGTGATGTGAGTGATGGTGACATCATACTGTAATATTATTTTTACGGGAATGTAATGTGATATTACATTACTTTTTGAGGTACTGTTTCGTGCATCTATAAAGTACCTACTTGATGACTTTTGGTTTGTTCATAATATCTTCCTTTGCATTGACAATTAAGGCAGTCTCCCAGATGTCCTTGAAAAGCTGCCTGCGCTGTACGTAACTTTCTTCCTTCGTCAACGGCTTCTCCAAATCAGCGGTGTTCGATTGCAGCATATTTTACTCTTTATAAGCTTTCCATTCTGACTATAGCGTATGAATGCAGCAAATTTATGAAATATACCTAATTACTTAAACGTTTGGGTTTCAGCTACATTGCTGTTATTGTTTTTGTTAATTGTTATGATTTTGACGGGAATTTTATTTCTTGTTGTTTTTTAAATTATTTCTTTTCTATTCTCGGCGACTTATTAATTTACTTATAACCCAAAGACAAAATTTATTTATAAAAGTACTCTGTGCTCGAGACTGATTTCACATTGTGACTGACATTATGATCTAAATTAGTTTTTTTTAATCTTGAAAAATATTTGACATAAGCTCGTAATGTTAAGAACTCACGTAGCGATTTTCACCCGCGCTCGCCGTGGTCGCGGGACCGCGGCCTCCGGAGAATGTAGACATAACTGTAAAATTTTGTAGCACATTTTATGAGGCGTTTTGACGAAATATAAAATAGTTCGTTTAATAGTTTAAAATAGTTTGCTTTTCAATTTAAGCGTAAGCAAGGTCAGTTTAATACTCAACTATATGATTTTTTACAACCTGCTTATGTCTGAAGTCCCATCATCACGAATTGTCATTAGAAAAGAGTATTACATTGTGTTTAAACTATATATCATAATTATTTATAAACTTCTTCCTATGTGTTTTAATTATCATGTTATGCACCCCTGTTAACTATTTTGAACCCAGCTCTCTGGTTGACTGGTAGAGAATGCCTAATGGCATTAAGTCCGCCATTTGTACTGTTTTGTGTGCAATTAAGTTTAAATAAATAAATAAATATTTTGCTAACAATCCATGACCACAAACTCAATTTTTTTTATAAGTTTTCACACGTTTATTTGGGTAGGCAAAGTTTTATTATACAGCCTCTTCATATATTTAAAAGTCAAACAAACGTTACAAAACAAAAACTAAAGAGACAGAATAGTGGCATTGTATCGTTTATATTTTAACCAATAATTTTTTAACGAGGGTTTATAGCCAGTTTGCCATTGACTTACAAATGTAAGTCAATGCAGTTTGCAAGATTTTTAAGCCAATTTAACCAATCAGGAGGCAGTAGCGCGTTTGAGTAGCTTCATGTTTGGTATTTTAATTAGCAAAAATACGACGTTCTTTTTTTTGAAACTCTGTTCTGTGTACAGAACTATAACCGCTACTTAATTTTTTTTAAATTTGAAACTACAACCAATCAATATCAAGCTTTTGTAGGGAGAGTTCAGCAGGTAGATTCAGAATCTTTTCGAGAATCTTTTTCAGAACCGATTCGATTTGATATCGTACGATCTCTTTTAATTTTTATTCACAATAACCGAATCGAACGTCAAACTTCCGTATTCGAAACCGAACCGAAATGACGTCAAACCCGTACGATTACTCGAACTTCTCGACCGGCAAAGGCTACAAACTTTATTCAGAACATAGTTATCGAATGAAAGTTACCGATCGTTCTATTGTTTACAAAGCACGATTGTAATATGGACGTCTTTTATTATTTTAAATAACCTATTGTTTACAAAGCAATAATGTAATATGGAAATTTTTTATTATTTTAAATAAAGTCTGGATTTTGTTCCATTTTATTAATTTATTTTAATGCAAGACTAATGAATTCCTACATTTTAGGCCTTTGAAGTCTTAAAAATGTGTATAAAATTATTTTAATTTTTTTTGTAATCCATTACACAGACTAACTCCGTAAACACGATACCGTGGGGTCTACCTCGATCTCCGTCCGAAACAATTAGTGCCAAATAAGTGATACTTGACCAAATGATGAACGCGTGATGCGAATGAAGCTTCATACTTGATACTTGTCTTTTAATTTTGTCGAATATTACTTATTTGACAGTAATTGTTTCGGACGGATGTCCGACGGAGATCGAGAGTAGACCCCCAGTTCCGAATCCGAGTCGAACGTTTTACTTGGAATTTTCTGAATAGCTTCGAAAGCGTCCTTCGATTCGAGAACGATATCCAATCGAGCGATTCCGTTAAAATACCGAAGAGTTCCGAATCGACCTTCTGATCTGATAGTAATCAAAACTAAACGCACTTCCATTGTTTTTTTTTCTCTTGCGTGCTTAGGAAGCGTCATCCGCCCACAAGATATTTAACTAGAAAAGCAACAAGTTGCCAGCAACTTGCCAAGCTTCTCGCTCAGTGCCCGAGCAACCTCCGTTGATAGAACACTCCTCCAACCAAGAGGACCCGTAACTTTTAAAATTATTTTATAAAATGAGTACTAATATTCGGTGAATAAGAGATTGAAGTACGTTTGAAATGTTCAAAGAATGCCACGGAAGTATGACACGAACGCATTATGGATTGCGCTCAGAAATCATGAAGGGGGGAACCTTTTTCAAGTGTATTCTAAAATTTTCTCGGACTTGCTTAAACAAGAAGATGCGGCGAGAGTTGAAAGCGATAATTCCGATGCTGAGAAACTTGTGCTGCCCAGTGACAAGGAATGGAGGCTACAGCAGTACTTTCTTCTCGTTGCTATGCAAAAAAATCTGGATTTCGTAGAGCAAGTACCTTTAATAACTAATAACTATTCAATGCATTAACGACTTGATTAAGTCGTTTTTTATTGTAAGGTTTCACAATGAGATGGCAAGCAAGTTTTTGAACCATAAAATTATTGTTTGATTGAATTGTTTGACATGAATATTCGTGTCGTCAGTTGACTTAACTAGATAAATTTAACGTGTTATAATTACATACGAATTTTCTGTATGACGTGCACAAATAGTAATATTTTAGGAACAAGAACGAAATGTAATGCATTACTCCAGGTATACATCTTTATTTATAGGTAATAATCTGACAATATAATGTAGACTACTTCCACGTGTTTCGTTTACGTAATTCTCGTTAAATTAACTCTATCTAAATGACTATAAAGTTAATGTTCAAATGGTGAATTTAGCCAATAAACAACACAATGTTTTAATATCATTTCTAATGCAACGGTTTCGTGGAGTCGGTATTAACACTATAGATTACATTAGACGGTTCAGGGTTTAATTCTCGAGCGTACTCATAACGTTATTGTGGCATATATTGGAGTTGGTTTCAATTCAGTTGCATTTTCCCAATTTCCGTTAACCGATTTCAATAAAACTTGGCAAATAATAATAATAATAATAATGTTTATTTTACTCTTACAAGGGTACAAAGTTTTATAATGTAATTTACATGAAAATGCTTAAATAATAGAGTACCTTTGCAAGAGACTGGAGTCTATACTAGGAACTAACCTGTGTGACAGATCTCCAGGCTCTCACCCAACCTGATAAAACCGTGTTTGAAAAAGCAGTTGCAATGTAAATAAATTACAAACAACAATTTTTACAATCATTGTAAGCCATTGCAGAAAATGATAATATAATAATACTAACAAAATGATGATAATTTAGTGACGTAAGTACAACCAGTAAAATGAAAGAATAAGCTAATATGACACTTAAAAAAAAAAAAATAAAAAAAAAAAATTAATAATAATAATAATAATAAAAAAATGTGTGTGTGTGTGTGTGTGTGTGTGTGTGTGTGTGTGTGTGCGTGTGCGTGTGTGTGTGTGTGTGTGTGTGTGTGTGTGTGTGAGAGAGAGAGTTATATAAATAGTTGTTATAAAGGGACATTACATAGAGATCTCAATGTTAATAGTAACTAGGTGGGTTAATTGTAAAAGGTCAAGGCATGCCAAGGCCAGCGCGCATGCATACGTGTTGATGAGGCGAAAGATATATTCCAGGGACGTAGCAAGTTGAAGGTAGTCTCCACCTATCCCGATGGGAAAAGAGCGGTAAGTATATGTACGTGTGCATGTTGATTGCAAATAAATTGGCTAAACTAACAATATTACATTTTCCGTAAAACCCTTTATGCGTTGATGTATGATAGTTTGCTCGAGTAGGCTTCTTTTTATGGTATCGAAGGCGTACTTTTTAACCGACTTCAAAAAGGAGGAGGTTCTCAATTCGACTGTATGTTCTTTTTTTCTTTTTTTTTTTGTATGTATGTTACGCGATAACTCCGGTATTTGTGAACCGTTTTTCATGATTCTTTTTTGTTGGAAAGGGGGTACTTCCATAGTGGTCCCATTTCATTTTGAAGAAAATCATCCACCTCAAAGGGTGGCTGTTCACGCATGAAGATTCATTTTTATAAATAGCGCCTAACTTTAATTTAGGAGCAATTACTTTTAGCAATAATTTAGTTGATTTTGCTATTTCTCCAATTCAAGGCGTTTTTCTCTCGATATACTTTGAGTAGTGTCGTAGTGAGAACTTATTTTTATTATCTCCAGTATCAAGTCCTGTATAGTGGCGAACTAGGGGATATTTCAATGAAATTTAGCAAATAGACGTAATTCCACGTACTTTTGAGGTTGGTTTTTTTAGTACTCTGTACTGAGATTATTACGATATCAAGTGACGGGACGAACACGTCGTGCGCCTTGTGGTAAGCGACACGGCTGTCCATAATAGTTGCAGTGCCACCAGAGCTTTAAATCACAAAGATCTCAGGGGCACTGCCTCTGCGCACGTCACCCTGAGATATAAGTTGACAAGTCCCATGTGCCTGTAATTTCTCCAACACCCCGTTCAAATCCGAAAAGCATATTAGGTAATTAATTGCTTACAAAACACATTGAACGAATTATTAATACACTTAGAAGTAATTCCCTCGATCCGGCTGGATTGTTGATGTTGCTTCTGGCAGATGTTGCTTTCATAATTGTAATTTTTAAGTTAATTGAATGTCAAGATATTCACCACCATGATATTCAATTATTATTTGTGAAATTGCTGAGTGAAGAAATGGATTTCTCGCAGATGGCGTTACGGCAAAAAGTCGTTAAAAATACAAAAAGAAAAATCTGAAACAAGCACATAGAAAAATTAGTAAGGTGCACAGTCTGGTTCTTCCGTGGCTTAGTTGACATATCGTCGGGAACGGTTTGGAGTTGGATTTGAACCAACGTATGGTTCGAATCCAACCGGATCGTAGGAATTCTTTTTTAATAACTAGTACCTATCAGTAGTTTGAAATGACATTTTCCAAAAATTACGTTTGGTCGAATTTTCATAACCTCGAAAGTACAAGAAATTTGAAAA